CAACCTACTGAATCATTTATATTTTTATTTCCTGCAGCACCTAGGTGTTCCCTTGGAGAATTCCCATCCAAGTATTCTCTTATTATGCTCTCTTAATTTAAGAGAAACAAATAGAATATCAAATATTTAAATTACCTTCAAATGTTCAGGATTCCGGATTCGTTTTCGAGTTTTATTACTTATTCCACCACAGAAACTTTGAGGTGTTCCAACAAGCCAGTTTCCGTCTTCACCCAAAATGAATTTTTTGGGAACTGCTTCTTTCAGTAGGCGCCGGTTTTTCCTAATTTTTAGAGGATCAATTTCAAAAGAACTGTCCTCAAAATGTTTAGAACATAGTCGCTGATGTTTTGATGGAGTTCCCATTTCCCGACCCATGTTGTGAATCCACTGCTTCAAGAGAGGTTTGTTATGTAAAGGAAAACCATAGAAAGTAACTGTACTGTTCTTATATACCCCACTTGTAGCATTTTGACAGTTCAAAGCTGAGCAATAAACCATTGTAAAATGAGCAGTAGAAACAAATCTAAAACAGTAATAAGATGCCAAGAGGTCAGTTTGCAGGGTTTATAATCAACTATTGCTTTAATATTAAGAGCAGTAGATATATGCACCTCAACAACATACAGCGTTGTATAATACAGGAAAAGATTAAGTTCACAGTGAAGCAAAATGTAGTTGTGGAGCCAGACTTCAATACAGGACACGTGGACCTCAGCATAGTTTATATCTGTAAAATACAGAGAAAAGTCAGGCTCCTGCTTTCTTAAATTATATACTGCTCTTCCTTAAACCATATACTGGCATACAGTTTCCGCAAGTCCAAGTACCTATTTACACCCCCAAACTAAAATGTTTCTTTAACATTTAACACTACCATGTACATCTCCCATATATTAAACACCCCTGTATTATGCATACACACAAGAACACCCTATCAATCAGGATATTTGCTAAAAATTTTGCCATATTCAGCAGCAAAAAAATATTTATAACATATGGGTTACACAGAAGGCAGCAACAGAAGGATGATGTACAATGTCCAAAAAGGAGCAATTCATATGAGGAAATGTCAGCTTTATACTTGTCGGGAAGAGAAGGAGACTTTGGCTGCACATTGGAGAAGAAGCAAATATCAGAGGATCGACATATGGAAGAAGCACGTTGGACTGCAAGAACTCAAGTATATGCTGATGCACAGGGGACTGTAGTCAACAAATCAGATATGTACCTACGTTTTAAATTGGGACGAAGGCATGTGTGAAGGCAAAGGAAATGTCAAGAGAAGGGACTCTAGAAGGGAGAATGTTGGGAATGCATAGTACAAGCAAATTTAATCCCAAACACCCCAGAACTGGTTCTGGGATATCTCCTTTCCCTGGAATAAATCTCTTGACCGTTTCCACCATTCCTACATGCCTGAAAGTGTCTGAAGTTCCCGACACTCTGGTCACACGGGCAGCCCTACACCAGCTATTCTGTCAAGGAGACGCACCATTCCATCGCGCTGGGGAAATGCAGAGAGCCCTGCTCCACCACCTCAGCACGTCAATGGGGGGAGGAGGGGAACAGTGAACCCTCCTCTCTGTTTCATTGTGGGGTTACGCCTAGGCAGCCCTGATCTATCAACCCAGTAGGCTGCGGGGGTGACGGCAGCCCCAGGTCACTGTCCTGACGCACTGCGGGGGGAGTGGAGGAAAGCAGCGTTAGGGGTCGGGGAGCAGACAGCCCCACTCTAACGGGGGGGATGGGCAACACCCCGTCCAGCAGCCCACACAGACTTATTGGGGAGCATCCCCCCACCTCGCCCCGGGGCATCATGGGAAGCGGAGCCTCTTCCCCCCCCCTTCCAGAGGGGCTCCCTGAGAGTCTCTCACCTCCACTGCCGGGCAGCCATCTTCCCCCTCTCAGTCCCTCCCTTCATCACCGTCCCACTCCCTCCTCCCCCTTCCCCTCCCTCAGCGCGCGCAGCAGCCTGTAACGGCCCCGCCTTGCGCGCGCCTCTGGTCGCCGCCCAGTGCCCACCAATGGGAGACGACCACCCACCCCCGTGAGCAGGGAAGGTTACGGTAGGGAGCGAGGACAACGACCAATCAGAATCGACACCAGCTAGGATGGGTAACGGCTCTAAGCTTCAGTCTTACCAGGACGACACCATTCTTCCGTCCTCTCCTCTGATTGGCCAACCTCTTCCGGCTGTTGTCCTCTGACTGGTGATCGACGGGCCTGAGGAACCAATCAGCCTCTTGACTCTTCCACTTTCCCCCAGGAGTCTCCTCTACCAGCGACAGTGGTGGGCTGCTCCGACCTGGGCATTCCTATTGGCCCGCCGCTGGCAGGACCGAGTTGTGATTGGTGGAGACGGCTGTCGACCTTGCGGAAGAGCCCTTTCAGATCGCGAGTCGGGCGATGGTGCAGGCTGGGAAAAACTGAGGTTTCTTGTAATCAGGCCTCCCGCCTCGCCCCCACGCTGCCTGGTGGTTGGTATTTCCCCGCCCCCCAGAGACTCTGCCGCCCGCCGCCCCCCGGACACGGCCCCTCAATCGCCCCTCCCCACCGCAGTTCCCCTCGCCCGCACCCGGCCCCCTCGCTCTCCCCAAAGCTCCCTTTAGTCGCAGCCAGCCCGGCCCCCAGAGCTCCCCTCCCGCTCCCCCCGGAGCTCCCCGCAGTCACTCCCAGCCCGTGCCCCTGCTCCCCCTGGAGCTCCCCTCAGTCACCCCCATCCCACCCACCCCACTCTCCCTGGAGCTCCCCTCAATGGCAGCCAGCCCACCGCCCAGAGCTCCCCTCAGTCGCCCCCAGCCCTCCGCTCCCCCCGGACTCCCCGCAGTCCTCCCACCGGGCTCCCTGCTCCCCCTGGAGTCCCCTCCCCCCCACTCTCCCTGGACGCCAGCCCACCCCCAGAGCTCCCCTCAGTCGCCCCCAGCCTCCCCCTCCCGCTCCCCCGGAGCACCCCCGCAGCCCCCAGGCCCCCCGAGCTCCCCCCCGCCGCACCCAGCCCCCCTCCCCCCCCCCCCTGGAGCTCCCTCAATGGCAGCCAGCCCGCCCCCCAGAGCTCCCCTCAGTCGCCCCCAGCCTGCTCCCCTCCCGCTCCCCCCGGAGCTCCCCGCAGTCACTCCCAGGATCCCCCAGAGCTCCCCTTAGTCACCCCCAGCCCGTTCCCCTCACTCTCCCCGGAGCTCCCCTCAGTCACCCCCACCCCACCCCCATCCCACTCTCCCCTCAGTCGCCCCCAGCCTGCTCCCCGCCTGCTCTCCCCGGAGCTCCCCTCAGTTGCCCCCAGCCTGCTCCCCTCGGAGCTCCCCTCCATTGCACCCAGCCCGTGCCCCCGCTCCCCCTAGAGCTCCCCTCAGTCACCCTCATCCCACCCCCACCCCGCTCTCCCTGGAGCTCCCCTCAGTCACACCCAGCCCAAGCCCCCACCCACTCTCCCTAGAGCTCCCCTCAATGGCAGCCAGCCCACCCCCCAGAGCTCCCCTCAGTCGCACCCACCCCACTCTCCCTGGAGCTCCCCCAAGTCACCCCCAGCCTGCTCCCCTCCATTGCACCCAGCCCATGCCCCTGCTCCCCCTGGAGCTCCCCTCAGTCACCCCCACACCCCACCAGAGCTCCCCTCAGTCACACCCCGCCAGCTGCCCCTGGAGCTCCCTTCAGCTCTCGCCCAGCCCCACCCATCAGTCTCCCACAGACACTACTGCCTATCCCCAGACACGGCCCCATCCCCTCTCCCAAGCTCCCCTCAAACATAGCCAGCTCCTTCCTCCAGCAGGCCCACAGCCCCTTTCTGCCTCCCTCAGACCCCTCCCCACTTTCAGCTCATTACCCTGCAACCCGGAGGGCCCCCCCCACTCAACCAACATGGAGCGTGGTGACCCCAGTGCAGCAGCATTAAACGTAGGACCACTGTTCTCAGCAAGGGACTAGGGGAGATCAAAGTGCATGGTGGTGTGGAAATGTAGAGGGAGCATTTATGACAGGTTCCATCACAGAGACCCCATTGGGACTGTTACCTGATGTGCTGAGATTACCTCTGAGCCTGTTTTCTCTGCCAGTTTGGGACTCCAGAACCCTGCCTTGTTGAGCCAGACACACGAGCCTGCTGCAACACAGACCCAGGTCTGGTCCATGCCCCCAAAGCTGCAGACTTAACTGAAAATGGCTTAGCAAGTGCTCCTGTCTCCAGCACCCAGACACCCAACTTCCAATAGGATCCAAACCCCAAATAAATCTGTTTTACTCTGTATAAAGCTTATACAGGATAAGCTCATAAATTGTGCACCCTCTATAACACAGAGATATGCATAGCTGTTTGCTCCCCCAGGTATTAATCACTTACTCTTGGTTAATTAATAAACAAAAGTGATATTAAGTAAAAAAAAGTAGAATTTAAGTGGTTTCAGGTAATGACAGAAGTAAATTACCAAGCAAAATAAAACAAAACATGCAAGTCTAAGCCTAATACATTAAGAAACTGATTACAGATGAAATCTCACCCTCAGAGATGTTCCAATAAGCTTCTTTCACAGACTAGACTCCTTCCTAGTCTGGGCCCAATCCTTTCCCCTGATACAGACCTTGTTAGTTCCAGCAGGCATCTTAGGTGAAAGACAGGGGATTCCACATGACTGGAATCCCCGCTTTGTTCTCTTTCATCCCCTTTTATACCTTTGACACAAGGCAAGTATCCTTTGGGTCTCTCTGGCTTCCCACCCCTCCTTCTAAATGGAAAAGCACCAGGTTAAAGATGGATTTCAGTGTCATGTGACATGTTCACAAGTCCTCTGAGCCACCCTCCATTCTTTCAGGACTGGCCTGTACATAGACAGTGGAGGCTTGCAGGTAAACAGCCATCTACAGACCACTGTTCTAGTTAATGGGATCCATCAAAATTCCAAGCAACCATTAATGGCCCACACTTTGCATAATTACGGTAGGATTTCAGAGTAATACTTCATATTTTTAGTTTTAGATAAAAGAATGATACATATATACAAATAGGATGAACACACTCAGATAAGATTTGTAATGATACCTTACAAGAGACCTTTTGCATAATGCATATTCCAGTTACATCATATTCACATTTATAAATATTTTTATAAAGCATTATGGAGTGCAATGTCACAGCATCGTATCCAGATCTTAGCAACTTTCCCTTCTGTCCACCCCACATTTTTTCTTCCTGGTAGTACCTCCTCTCCCTGTTTGAAAATATACCTATAAGTCTCAGAGCTCTTCAGTCATCAAGTTGTTTAGCTGAAGGCACTATTCATTTGACTGTACCACAGAGAGGGTGGACATCTTTAAAAGTAGTGAAAGAGATATATATTTTTTTTATTTCATGAAACTTGGAAGGACAATTTCGCAAGTACCTAAGATGAGATGTCAGGGACACAGAAAAGGAAACAAAAAGCTCATTTAATGACTGCAATGAAGAAAGATGTAGATACAATGAAAAAATACTTAATATAGGTTAACAACCCTTGCAGTAGTAGCCGCAAGACTGTCACAGCAGAGACATCAGATGAAAAATGCATAGAGAATCCACAACTGAACATTCAAGGATCAGCAAAAGAAAAACAAAGAGATCCAAACAAAACAAATTCTTTATCCGAACCAGAATAATGACGATGCCACTAGTGACAGAGATTAAATGATTCCCATTATAAGCATTCACAGAATCATAGAATATCAGGGTTGAAAGGAACCTCAGGAGGTCATCTAGTCCAACCCCCTGCTCAAAGCAGGATGAATCCCCAATTTTTGCCCCAGATCCCTAAATGGCCCCCTCAAGGATTGAACTCACAACCCTGGGTTTAGCAGGCCAATGTTCAAACCACTGAGTTATCCCTCCCCCCACAAAGCAGGACCAATCCCCAATTTTTTAGCAATACCATTTCTGATCCTGCTTTATGGTCCAGTATAACACCCAAAATTCAAGCTCTGCTAGTGACCAATGGTCCACCAAAAGTAAAGGACATGGATTTTCCTCTGGATGAGCAGAATTGCCATTTTTCTATGATGTTTTTATACAGAAAGCTTGAAAATGGCAAAGTTTTAAAGTGGCGCTGGCTGCTTTACTCAGATTCCACTGACAAGGTTTTCTGTTTCTGCTGCAAGCTCTTTGACTTGAATCCAAAATCATCCCTAGCATTCAAGGGGTTGAATGATTGAAGAACATGTCTCAGCTTTTCTCATGCATCATGAAAAGTCGCCTAGTCAGTTCAGTTCCTACCAAATGTGGATCAAAGCAGAGCAAAGGCTAAAACAGGATAATTGCATGAACATGGATCTTCAATGTGTAATTAAACAAGAGACAAAACACTGGGAGAACATTGTAAAGAGGCTCATGACAATAACACTTTATCTTTCTAAAAATAACATGGCTTTCCAAGGTTTATCTGACAGGCTCTTCACGATGAACAAGAATTTCCTAGGTTTGGTGGAATTACTAGGAAAGTACAATAAAGTAATGAAGGAACATTTGCGACGCATACTTTCCAGGGAGGTGACAGATCACTACTCTGGAAAAACAATCCAGAATGAGATAATTGAATTATTGGTGAAGAAAGTGCTGCAAGATATTCTTAAAAGGTTAAGGAGTGCTAAGTTCTACTCCATTATATTGGATTGCACTCCAGATGAGCGCCATTATGAAAAGATAGATTTCAGAGTAGCAGCTGTGTTAGTCTGTATTCACAAAAAGAAAAGGAGTACTTGTGGCACCTTAGAGACTAACCAATTTATTTGAGCATAAGCTTTCATGAGCTACAGCTCACTTCTGTATTTTCCACTGAATGCATCCAATGAAGTGAGCTGTAGCTCATGAAAGCTTATGCTCAAATAAATTTGATAGTCTCTAAGGTGCCACAAGTACTCCTTTTCTTATTATGAAAAGATGTCTTTCACTATTAGGTTCCTTGATACTTCAGATGGTAAAGTGACCATTCAGGAGCACTTTATTGGTTTTAAAACAGTGGACGAGTCCACAGGGGAAGGACTAACTGATACTATACTTACTACTCTGAAGGAACGTGACATAAATATCCAAGACTGCCAGGGCCAGGGTTAGGACAACGGTGCAAACATGAAGGGGAAAAACAAGGGTGTACAGGCAAGAATCCTTAACCAAAACCCAAGAGCATTTTTTGTTCCATGTGAATGTCACTTGCTCAATCTTGTGGTGGGGGATGCTGCAACATCTTCACCAGAGTCCATCTCCCCCTGTGGCATTCTGCAAAAGGATCTACCTTCTGTTCTCTACCTCTGTTCATCATTGGGAGATTCTCACAGATCATGTCAATATCACTGTGAAGCCAATATGTGAAACACACTAGGACTGCAGAATTAAGCTGTTTGATACCAAACAGCTGAAGTCCATGATGCCCTCATCGCATTGGCTGAATCAGAGCAAGCAGATGCAGGTGTCTGTCATGAAGCACTCACCCTGGCACGTGAACTAGTTGAATTCAAGTTTCTTGTCTCCATTGTGGTGTGGTACGATATCCTTTTTCAAGTCAATGTGGTGAACAAAAGCATGCAAAGCAAGAAAAACGTCAACATTGTTGCAGCCACAAACTTGATAAACTACAGGGAAGTCAGGTACAAAGGAGCTCTGACAACAGCTAAGGAAATAGCTGAAAATCTTGGTGTTGATGTAGAGTTTAAACCATGTTCATCGTAAAAAGCATCAATTCAGCCATGAATGTGAAGATGAAACAAACAGTTAATCCAGAAGTCAAGTTTAAAATTGAATTTTTCAACGAGCTTTTAGACACTGATGTCTCTGGAAGAACTGTTTGAGCAAATGAATCAACATGTGAATCTTTGGGGCTTTCTATATAACATACCACAACTCTGACAAAGAAATTTTGATGAAGCACTGTAAGAACCTTCATAGTGCACTGACATATGGAGAGAGCTCGGACATTAATGGCAGTGACCTCTGCAAAGAACTTTGCTATCTCCAAAGTCTGCTTCCAATGGACTGTAGTGCTCCTCAAGAAATTCTACCATTTATTTACAACGATGAACTTAATGACAACTTCCCAAACACATGGATAGGACTCAGGATCCTGTTAACCGTACCTGTAACAGCGGCGAGCAACGACTGGAGCTTCTTAAAAGTTGAAGCTCATAAAAACATATCTGCTATCGACCATGGGAGATGACAGACAATCTTCGCTGGCCATCCTGTGTATTGAGAATGCTGTGGCTCAAAATATAGGCCTGTCACAAGCAATATCAGAATTTGCGGCAGCAAAGGCACACAGACTTGCCCTCTGAGTCTTGGTGAACAACGTTTGTTTTTTTATTTAGTTTACTGTTTGTCATTTAGCGATTATTTTTTGACATTTATTTGAATAAAACTGAATTGTCATTTGTATTTTTTAGTAAATGATAAAAACTTTTGAGATTACAGCTTAATTTCTGAAACTTTCGTTAATATCACTACATACTTAAGCTTAAAAAGTGCAAAAATTCAAGTCTGCCTATGGCACCATTTTCCCTAACATTGGCCCTGTGAGAGGACACACTCCCAACCCTAAGGAGGTATGAATATGAGGTACAAGGTATGCCTAGATGGCTGGCAGGTAAACCTAACCCACTGTCTCCCTCAACTCTGGCTGTCTGGCCACATCTCTCCCACCATATTACCACTCTCTCTTTCTCACTATCCCCCAACATAAGGATCAGAAGCATCTATCCTCCCCCAGTCCTGATCCCAAATGAATGCCACTATGGGCTCAAATAACTTGTTTCCCTCTAACAGCAATGCTGAACAGATAAAGCATCCTCTGGCTCCTCAGACCTAGACTTCTCAACCAGCAAACTACAGATGGTTTGAGTGGCAGCACTTGAATCTTAGCCTCAAAGATGTGTCTCCTCTCCTTAGCCTATCACTGCTAACCCCAACCAGGGGTATTCTATCTGCTACCCAAAATCCATAAACCTGGAAATCCTGGACACCCCATCATCTCAGGCATTGGCACCCTGACAGCAGGATTCTCTGGCTATCTGGACTCCCTCCTCAGGCCCTATGCTACCAGCACCCCCAGCTATCTTTGTGACACCACTGACTTCCTGAAGAAACTACAATCCATCGGTGATCTTCCTGAAAACACCATCCTGGCCACTATGGATGCAGAAGCCCTCTACACCAACATTCCACACAAAGATGGACTACAAACCGTCAGGAACAGTATCCCCGATAATGTCACGGCAAACCTGGTGGCTGAACTTTGTGACTTTGTCCTCACCCATAACTATTTCACATTTGGGGACAATGTATACATTCAAATCAGCGGCACTGCTATGGGTAACCGCATGGCCCCCACAGTATGCCAACATTTTTATGGCTGACTTAGAACAACGCTTCCTCAGCTCTCATCCCCTAATGCCCCTACTCTACTTGCGCTATATTGATGATATCTTCATCATCTGGACCCATGGCAAAGAAGCCCTTGAGGAATTCCACCATGATTTCAACAATTTCCATCCCACCATCAACCTCAGCCTGGACCAGTCCACACAAGAGATCCACTTCCTGGACACTACGGTGCTAATAAGCGATGGTCACATGACCATCACCCTATACCGGAAACCTACTGACTGCTAGGCTTACCTATATGCCTCCAGCTTTCATCCAGACCACACCACGCAATTTATTGTCTATAGCCAAGTTCTACGATACAACCGCATTTGCTCCAACCCCTCAAACAGAGACAAACACCTACAAGATCTCTATCAAGCATTCTTACAACTACAATACCCACCTGCTGAAGTGAAGAAACAGATTGACAGAGCCAGAAGAGTACCCGGAAGTTACTTACTACAGGATAGGCCCAACAAAGAAAATAACAGAATGTCACTAGTCATCACCTTCAGCCCCCAACTAAAACCTCTCCAACGCATCATCAAGGATCTACAACCTATCCTGAAGGACGACCCATCACTCTCACAGATCTTGGGAAACAGACCAGTCCTTGTTTACAGACAGACCCCCAGCCTGAACCAAATACAACAGAACCACTAATCCAAGAACCTATCCTTACAACAAAGCCTGTTGCCAACTGTATCCACATATCTATTTAGGGGACACCATCATAGGGCCTAATCACATCAGCCACACGATCAGAGGCTTGTTCACCTGCACATCTACCAATGTGCTATGTGCCATCATGTGCCAGCAATACTCCTCTGCCAAGTACATTGGCCAAACTGGACAGTCTCTACGTAAAAGAATAAATGGACACAAATCAGATGTCAAGAATTATAACATTCAAAAACCAGTCGGAGAACACTTCAATCTCTTTGGTCACTCAATTACAGATCTAAAAGTGGCAATTCTTCAACAAAAAAACTTCAAAAAAACAGACTCCAGCAAGAGACTGCTGAATTGGAATTAATTTGCAAATTGGATACAATTAATTTAGGCTTAAATAAAGACTGGGAGTGGATGGGTCATTACACAAAGTAAAACTATTTCCCCATGTTTATTCCCTCCCCCCCTCCACCCCTGCTGTTCCTCAGATATTCTTGTCAACTGCTGGAAATGGCCCACCTTGATTATCACTACAGAAGGCTCCCCCCCCAACCCCTCCCCCGCTCTCCTGCTGGTAATAGCTCACCTTACCTGATCACTCTCCTTACAGTGTGTATGGTAACACCCATTGTTTCATGTTCTCTGTGTATATAAATCTCCCCACTGTATTTTCCACTGAATGTGTCCGATGAAGTGAGCTGTAGCTCACGAAAGCTTATGCTCAGATAAATTTGTTAGTCTCTAAGGTGACACAAGTCCTCCTTTTCTTTTTGCGGATACAGACTAACAGCTGCTACTCTGAAACATGTATATTTTTGTGTTTTGTTGTTTTTTTAAAAAAGAGGGGTCAGTTTATTTTGATAAACACAACCCTCCTACTAATGGAGTACTATTTGAGTTCTATTTATTTAGTAAATGAACAGCTTCTACTGTTCTTAAACTTTTTTTTGTAATAATTACATCATAGTATCCAAAATAGAACATGAGTATAAAACATTGTTATGAGTAGGATCCAGTATACCAATGGCCACCAGAGAGAGACACACATCATTCATGCAGATAACCTTCCCACCAAGGGTATTTCATTAAGGTTGAAGATAACTCATGTGCAAAGATCTGCTACAAGGACTACTATGCACTGTTTAGGAGACTGATAGGCTTAAGTGGCACATAGTCCTTTTGTACACTGCTCCTTTAAATGTTAAATCTCCCTTTCTAAAAGGCAATGAAACCACTGCATTATATTTAAACTACACCATAGAACCTTTATCTTTAAATTAACTGTGGACTGAATCATTCATAAAATTAATTATCTCAAAATTAGCCTTTGCAGTATGGTGTACTGCATTGTTTTCTTCCTGTCCTTCAAACCACTGCAAGGTAATTTCCATTGGAGGCATCAGAATTTGAAGTGATGTTGATTTGTTCTTCAACATCACTTCCATTGTGTGATTCCCCCACCCCCAATTGTGAAAAATGATTGGTATAGCTGCTTGTTCGTAAGATTGATGTACTGTATTTACCAGTATTTGTATTTCATAAAACAAACACACATTGAAAGCCCCGTCCTGCAGCTCTTACTCGTAGGAGTAGCCCTACTAAGGTCTACAGAACTCCTCGTGCAAGCTAGGGCTGGAGGTAAGGCCCAAATGTATCTGGACAGCTCCAGTGATCGGTTACACTACCTATTCCTTTAATTGAGGGTAGGAAATACTACATGTTCTGTGGCAAGTAACTACCCCCAACAGTATTAATTTAGGAACAAAATGTTATCCATGGCAATATATCACACAAGATAATCCATTCACAAGGATAAGAATCAGGTTTCAGAGTGGTAACTGTTTGTTTATATCAGCAAAAACAAGGAGTCCTTGTGGCACCTTAGAGACTAACAAATTTATTTGGGCATAAGCTTTCATGGGCTAAACTCCACTTCATCAGATCCATGAAAGCTTATGCCCAAATACATTTGTTAGTCTCTAAGGTGCCACAAAGATAAGAATGGTAGAATTACACCTCTAGTAAACAATCACAACAGCTCATCAGCTAATTAATGGGGGTGAGAAAGAGAAAAATAGATTCTACTCAGACTGAGTGAAAGGTCCATATTAACAGAAAAGTAACAAAATTACCCATAAAGATTTTACCAAGACCATAAAATGTTGATTCTTTTGCTGAATACACGTGCCTATACCAATTTTCCGTCTTCTGTAACTAAGCAGAATCCATTTCCTTCACAAAGAATACACTATAAAGAATACCTCACGCCTCTATTTTGGGCATAGCACACAGTCATTTTGTTCCATGGCTGTCTTCCGAATTCTCCAGCTGAGACTACCTTCGTTTTGTTAAGCGCAGTTGTTGGGCTGAACTCTTATCCTAAGCCATACTTATTTGACATAACGCTGCACCTCAAGCGGCAGAAAATTCTCAGTTTACATCCCATGAAGGGCAAAATGCTCCTCACAACCTCCACTGACTTCACAAACTGAATTCCACCCTGTGAGACTGTAACATGAGATTTGGGGTGGTCTAAATAGGCTGAAGACGTGATTGTGAAGAATCTGCTTTTTTAATTTTTGTTTGCATTTTCCCCAACAGTAACTCATCAGTGGATTTTACCAAAACAAATTGTGAAGGGGTGCCATTTGGATGGAGCTTACAAGATGGTTGCTGCCAGAATTAGGTTTTGCCCTGTTGGTTTATTTTTCCCTCCCCTCATCTTTTCTATAAGATAGCTCAGTCCCCCAGAAGAGGCATCAGGGGGTGCTAGAAACAATCCTGGCAAGTTTGAGCAAGAGGATTTTTCTTGACAATTTTATTTAAAACAAAAAACAAAAACAAAAAACTAAAGACGGTCTCACATGAACTTCAGTAAGAGTTTATAAATACAGAGCCAGATCCTTAGCTGCTGTAACTTTTAAAATCTTCACTGACAGCAAAGGAGCTATGACAAGTTATACCAGCTGAGGAGCTGACTTGTATTATTTATGGATAACAGTGGCTTTCATGGCATTTTGCTCAACTTAACTACCCAGCCCTGCTGCCCCTAAAGGTTTTTTCCCCCCAGAGGGCCATAGTGCCATCAAAAGCAAGATTAGAGAAATTTTCTTTTATCAAGAACCTGGTGTTACTGAAGAGGGCTGGCTCCTGTCTCAGGTACATTTTTGTCCTTCCCGTGAAAAGTAGCGACACCAATAACCTAAAGCTGCTGCAGTGAGCCAAACGCTTATCCACTTGATTCCCCATAATGTTTCCTACAAAACCCAAATGTAGTGAAAATTAAGAAAAAAGTGTCTCAAAACCAGGACAATCATCATATAAAAATCTTCAGTAATGCACACATCAAATCATATATACAACTGTCTGTAATATGGAACATTACATTTGGAAGGTGGAAAACTCAGGCTGTCCAAAAAGAGATCTATACCGTAAGCTTTCTCTAGTCATAAGGAGAGTCAGCCAGGAAATCTTCAGATAGCTCCATTTGCCTGGCTTCAATGGGTTAAATGTTTGATTTACAGAGGTACTGAATACCGAGAGCTACCTTTGACTTAAATGGGAGCTAGGGGTGCATTTGACCTCCCAAACTCCATTCCTAAGTATCTGCTGCTTCTCTGAAGGGGTTCAGAAATGGGTTCTAAATTTCAAATGGTAGGAGTCCCTCCTCTCAGTAAAGAGCCAGCTATCCCTTTTTCCTGTTGTGTGTCACACGAACATGCATTTTCTGACCTATTTTCAGTTAGCTCTGTCTCACATAGTAGATTGTGAACAGATACTAATGCATCCTCTCTTTTTACATCAGGCTGGTCTCTCTGTTGTGTATCCAGGTCCCTGTGAAGCCTTCAGATGAAGTTGTGACAGGACTATTTTTGAGGATCATAGATTTCCTACTCAGTTTTTCCCTCAAAAAAATGATTGTTCTAGCTTCTCCGTGTGAATCACCTGGTGTCTAAGACAACTCAACTGGCTAAGTGGATTGGGTCTCTTTCATGTGACTTTTTTGATGCTTAACTAAACTTCTTTTCAGCACAAAGCTTTTCCCACACACATTACACTGGAATAGTTTCTCCCCTAAATGCCGGCGTTGGTGATTTAGAAGATAATCCTTTCTGCTGTAGCTTTTGTCACATTCGGTACATTTATATGGCCTCTCTCCACTGTGAATCATTTGGTGTCTAATGAGCCATGAGTGGCAAATGAAGCTCTTCTCACATTGGCTGCATTCATAGGGTTTCTCTATTCCATGGCTCCTTTGGTGTTTTGTCAAACTTATCTTCAGCTGGAAGTTTTTCCCACACTCAGCACATGCAAACAATCTCTCTCCTGTGTGGGCTTGTTGGTGATTCTGAAGATACACCTTTTGAGTATAGTTTCTCTCACATTCAGTACTTGTATACAGTCTCTCTTCTGGGTAGGCTTCTTCCTGATGGATTAATAAATTTTTGTCACAGTGAGATGAAACCCCCAGACTGTTCCCAGTAGCAGTTGCCTGCTGCATTTTTGAATTGTACAGACACTTCCATGTCACTCTCTGTTTGGGATTTGGCAAACACTCTTCTCCAAGTTTTCCGTATAAACTAGACTCGTACACGATGCTTTCAAGAGGATTTTCAGGGAGCTTATCCTTGTTTGTGCTTCCATCTTTCGCTGAAATAAACATACAATCACAAGAAGGTAAAACGACTGAGGAAACCTCTTCCGATTGCAACCAACCAAAGGCCTTAACCAGAAAAATGTTTGTGGCTATATTGTTTCTGAAGCACAGATAATCAAGTTAAATAAAAATATAGGCTTTATTACTGAGTAGAACAGCTTGGAAAGTTTTCACTGAAATTAAAATGTTGATGAAAAATAGAAAACATTTAGTCTCTGCAACCAGGTCTATTAAAAATCACTTATTGCAGAGTCAGAGATTTGGTCAGCACTTTACAAACCTACGGCAAGACCTGTGCCCTGCTTGGAAGAGTTTAGTCTTAGCACTGGATCAGTAAATACACAAAAGTTTTGGGACCTGATTTTCAGAGACATTGAGAACCCACACCTCCAAATAAAGTCAGGCAAGGATCTGTGGATGCTCAGCACCTCTGAAAATCAGGAATTTACAGTCAGTACACAATCAGTTTACATTACAGGCCCGAATAAGGAACACCATTAACCTGAAAACTTACCCAATTGAGGCCTACCCAGTGCTGAGCATAGCAGAACATTAACCTCACTGAGAGCTCTGATCCCACAACAAACTTTGTATAGGGCAACCCCCTGCGCACACCCAGAGCTCTGGGCTCTTGTCTATAGCGTAACCATGCTGAGAGTTCATTGCAGGGCTAGGGTCTTATTATACACTTGATACTCCTGTTAATGGAGCCCAACAGAGTATGTGACATTCTTGCGACTGCACTAGTGTACTGCCACCCTGTGGGCACGTTCCCGCATTCTCTAAGGAATTATTCCGCCCCACATTGATCATTTGACATTTAGCTTTAAAGATTAGTTTTTCAATGGATTTCAGTAGAGGCGTCCAGTAGATCATGATCACTATATTTTAATAGTCTCCTCCTCGGTGTATCTAATCCATCCCACCTTTGTCTCATCCATGCATTAAATACATTAAGGCTCCACACTACACCTGCTAGGTTGTTAATGAGAAGACTGAATGGCATCTGTTTCACACTACCATATTGGGATACCACTCGTTTTAGTCTCAGTTACTTATGTTCCACACAAATTTGGTGTCCCCTCACTTCTATTGTTGACAATTATTTACATCAGTAATAAAGGCACACACGAAGCTCAGCTTACAGAAAGTCATTTACACTAAGGGAATTAACGCCACACTATTAGCAATTTCCTGTGTGAATAATTCTTGGGTGTCCTTCATTTTGGGTCTTTTTCAAAATATTTTTTTCCTATATTTGGGTCCTGGCAGGTTGAAAGCTGAATAGTGTTAGGTCTAAACCATATGGGATTCTACTTGATACCTCTTTCCTATTTGACAACCATTTCCTCTGAGTTTTTAACCAAACTTGTGTCTATTTTGTAGAAACTATAGCTAATCCATGACCCACATTAGGAGGATGCTTCATCCTATATCAAGAGGATGGCACTGAATTATTGGATTTGTGTGGACACAACTAAAAAGGTCCTGAATTTTCTGCATTTACATTAATTTAACTTGGCATTAATTTAGCTTTTCCATTGGGAGTATTATTCCCTTACTGACCTGTGCTGGGATCTGTATGGATTTTGTTTTCCTCTGAATCATGCTGCTCACAGACTCTCGGCTCTCCCTCTTGTTTAATCAGTGATAAAATGTCAGTAGCACAAATTTGAAATCCTGTTCATGGGAAAGAGTTATATTACAAAGCATTCACTGTAGAAGTTAGGAAAACGAAGGATTTTGGAATAGTTAGGAACCCCAGATTACATCTGGTTGAGGTTCTTGGCAAGTCACATTTGTCATGCAAAAGTGCTGATAAAGCAGCAGGAAAGACATGGTTATAAGAGCTACCAAAGGTATTGCTGGGTGCCCAGCTTTGGCCAACACCATCTGAGTTGTTCTGATCTCTTACCAGTGCAAGGGTCTACAGGCATTTCTGTATTCTCTGACTCTAGCAGGGCCCTGACGCATAACTTGTTGCCTTCCTCAGTCTGGGATACAGTGTCAGACGTGGAAACGGCATGGTCTAGTCAAGGAGAAAGATGGAGATACAAGTATTGTGAATGTAAAAGTGGCTGCAAAATCTGTTTTTCCCCCTCCCCAAACCTGGCGTGCTTTGTAAATCTCAGTTAGACCTTAAAATAAACACACACGCATACCCAAGTTCTTATACAACTTTCTCAACATAAGGGGGTATAAAATTCCAGTTTGTATTGTATCATGTATTATTTAGCAGATATGAGAATCATATTAAAGGCATAACCAAAAGGAGTGAATGTTAAGATTGAGCTTTTCAGCCTTAATTCCACACGCCCCATTTATGAAATTTTCGTAAGAAATTTCTTTTTTCAAAAGAGAAGTTGCCAGTGGAGCTTATATATTTCTTGATCTGTATTAGTTTGGCTTGATACTCCCCACAGCTTCCCTGAACTCCAAGTCAGAGTTTAGCTCTTTAGTTTAGATGGGAGTTTAGTTTGGGCATTGAATGTAAAAACAATTAGCATTAGAACATAAGGGAATCTGGTTGTGTTTTATTAAAATACACTTCCCATCTCTTCCACTACCCCCCCCAAAAATAGATAATATTTCCTCAAAATTTCTAAAAACAAAGCAGTTAGGCTCTGGGCAGAAGCAGCTAAGACAAAGGACTCTGTTTCAGAAAGTTATAAGAAACAGAAAAAGAAAGATGGGTGCTGGAGCTCAAAACTGATGTGCTAGACGGACCCACTATCATTGCATTTATACAGTACGTGTGTATTTACTCATGCACTGTATATTATAGGAGGAGCTTGTAATGCCACTTATTGTTAAAGTTACCCAATACTTCCTATTATAAGACCCTCTTTTCAGTTGCTTATAAATTTTGCCAAAATTTAACTGCTAGGGTTGATGTTTTCCACGCCAGGTGTCTACTTCAGGCTGAATTTTAATAGAAAGTTTCAGCTAAAAGAGTTCAGCCATTTCCAAGAACAAGACTAAGGGGGGAAACCATTTTACCCAGATAAAAATAATTCTTACAACCTTTTCGTTTTCCTGCACCTCCTTGATTTGGAGCAAGGACTTGACTTGTGGTACAGGGTCCCACGGGTGTCAGGGATGTGCTTATTGCCTCCCCCATGAAAATTCACCCACATTTGACCAAATTATAAGCCTCTGATCAGCCACAACCCTGATTCATCCCCACAGCACAGTCCATCCTGTTCAGTAAATGAGGCAGGGCTCCTGTGGAAAAAAATAGTATGATCATTTAATTAAAGATTGTATCATAATGCATCTGCACAGGGGGGCCAAATTTAGCTTGCACAGGAAGGCTTAATTCTGGCATTTCTTAACTTTTGAGTGTTTGACTTTGCAATCTTAAATGTTCTTTTAACATAGTTTGTGTGTGTTAAATTTTATATATATGCACAAATACATGCACAAAATTGGCTTTCCTTCCCCAGGTTAAGGTATCAGTTCTATGCTCCCTGGCACCATCTGCCTGAAAAGACTAATCACATAAGGCCCTGCTCCAAAAGCCTTATTTAGAAAGACTGAAATCACAGTAACCACCATAAATCAGAAATTCATGGCCACCTGGGCTTAAGACGCCAAGCAAGGAGGGTTAAGGGAGGAAAACTATTTCCTACATCTACTACCTTCTGCACAGGAAAGAAGCAGTCACCAATTCTGAACTCTCAGAAAATGGATGGAAGATGAGAAAGAGAAAATGCCCAAAATCAGTCAGGACTGATAGAAAGCCTGACTGACGTCTGCCATGGAGATATGAACAAGTGTTGGTTGTAGATTTGGAATATGTAGAAAAAGATAAGAGCTCAAAGTTTATTAACCTTTCAATTTCACGCCCCATTTGAGCAACTTTAACTCACCTGTGTAGAGCTCTTTAGAGACTTTTCTGCCCTCCAAATCCTGCTGATCCCCAACATACAACTCTTCCTCTTGTTTAGTAAGTAATAAACCCTCTTGTGTACAAACTGGAGATTCTGTTCACAGGAACAAAAATTCACATTGTTTTTCCAACATGCACCATATTCTTTAGAAAAGAGTTCATGAGGGATTAGCTCGAGTTAGAAAAGGTCTCAGTTGTGTTATGTCAAGAGAGTAGGAAAACACGGATAAAACATAACAAGAGACCCAGGGCCTGACTCACCATTGTGTTACTTCAGTTTTACACCCGGGCAACTCCATTAATGATTCAGACCAATGGTTTGCACACACAAAATGTTACATTGGCACAAATAAGGAAATAAACATTGATACGGCATTTCAGTTTTACAAACTAGTATGAACACCAGAAATTCAAAGATAAAGCTACACTTAAAAACCATATTGATTTTGGAACATACAGAAATAGAGAGTTAAGGTACCTCAAACAGCCTTAACTCTGCCCTCATATGCTTGCCACTCTGTCTACCCTCCACGTAAACTGGAGCTACAAGTCTATGAAGAGTATTATAAGATCACAGCTAAGTTACATGTTAAATCAGGCACCAAGAGAGCCGAAGACATTAGTCCTCAAATATAGTATTTTGGTGCTCAGTGTCCACAGCTAGAACATCTTTGATCACCTCCCCTTTTATCTGGCAAAGCAGATATAGCTTAATTGCAAGGGTCTTGAGGGCTGTACGTGCACAGTTGCAAGAACTACCATGGATAGTAAAGAGTTTATGATTTCAAGCCTTCTCGTATAATTAGAGTTGGGGAAGGAGGCACATGCCAAGAGTCAGGCTGATCATGCAAAGCTGGTCATAGCCACAACTATGAAGAGATCAATCTCTCGCCACAAGAAGAGTTCAAAAGTCTTGCTGGATTTCCAGCATTTTACTGTATTAACTGTGCGAGTGCTTCTGACATATCAGTTACCTGTGCTGGGGTCTGTAGGAATTCCTCTCTCCTCTGCGTCTCCTTGGTCCCCGACACTCAGCTCCTCCCCCCGTTCAATCCGGGATAGGATGTCAGGTTTGGAAATGGCATAGTCTGTTCATGGAGAAAGATATTAAGAGACAGTGTATAGTAATAGGCTAGATTTGCATGAGTCTGTCTTCCCACAGTATGTATGTATGTATGTATGTATGTATATCACTGCATTCTACTGGACGGGTGTATCCTTTGAGGGCTGCAGCCACCACAGAATGATTTAGGAAGGAGGGGAAGAAAACAACTTCTGCTACTGCTTCCTCCCCTCCAGTTACCTCTTATCTCCTCCACGGCAGCAGCCACACCTACATCCCATCCAACAGAGGCTTGTAATACATATATTAGCCACAAGAGCCCGAGAATACTGGGCCCAGTGCCATATAACAAAGATATTTAACCGTCTGTAAGCCTGACCCATGCCAGGCAACTAGGGACAGGAATGAAAGACAAGCCTCTTACCAGCACAGCAGTATATCACAACCCTACCAATCCATGTATCCTTCAGGAGTAGCAGCTAGTACACTATTAACTTTCATTAAAGATTTTGAGTTATTTTAGTTCATCCCACTGCTAGAAATTAGAACAGAAGCAAAAGTGTTACTGAAGGCATTGTAGGGGGAAATGCCAGGTGCTATGAAGTAATGAGTCAGAGACAGTACGCTGTCTGATGCTGCCCTCTAGCCTGGCCTCACACAGAGGCTAAGGGATTACTGCTATATAGGTGTGCTCCAAGTGGTAGAGGGCTGGGTCTCTACAGCTGAAGTAGCAGGGTCCCAGTCCCAGGGATACAAGAGATTTATAAAGCAATTGTGTCAGTTGTCAGTCGCACATTAAGTTGTTACAGAGGGAGATGTGTGTGTGCTTTCTGGAAGGGTGCCAGAGATCTCCACACACAGGTGGATTTATGCATACACAAGTATTAATCCACTTGCTACCTATGTAGGGTCTCACACTGTTCCCACCACTTCAGTATCCATGCACCTTGTAAACCTGCACAGAGTTCAGTCCCGTAAGAGGCCACAGTCAAGCCAGGAACAGCCCAATGCTTATTAAACAACAGTGTTATCTAAAGTTGAGATGGATTGTTCCTGACTTGTATACTTACAAAGTTATGATTTCCAAATATACCATCATTTAAATGCATAAACATGGAGATAAATGCAGCATGTGCACATTCCACACTGCAGAGAGCTGGCGCTTTAAACTCTACAGTGTTAAAAGCTGAATGGAATGGAATGCCACTTGTCATGCAGACAGCAAAGGGAGCTGAGCCCATATCACCAAGTTTCCAATAACTAGAATGGCCAATCACCAGAAATCAAAGGACCAGAATAAATCTGGAAGAGAATGTAATATTTCAAAGATCAGAACTTTTCTAACAAAAGAGCAAAAACTGATCTTTACCCAGTGACATCAACATCTCATAGTTGCTTTTCATCACATTCTTGTAAAGCTCCTTCTGCCATTCGTCTAAATTCCCCCACTGTTGCTCATTGAAATAGACTGAGATGTCATCAAATGTTACTGGCACCTGGAATCACAAATATCACAAATTCAGCGCCTTGTGTTGTGATCACATTCTGAGCCTTGCTTCCTTTTATCTTCCATTAAAAAGACTTCCCTCTTGTTTCCTTTGAAATAAAATACTAAACATATTTAATTGTGAACTAGCACAACACAAGCAGCCAGATCAGTTCCCTTGTTCTAAGCTATTTTATTAATGGTGAATTAAAGGGCCAATATACCAAGTTCTGGAAAAAAAAACACTTCAGTAGTTCATGGTTAGGCTTTGTATCTACTCTTCATCATTAGCTCTGACACTGTTACCTTGGGAACTTCCCCCTTAGTGCCTGGGGGGAGCCTCAGGATCCAGAAGTTCCTGTTCTTCAGCAGGTTCTCCATGTTCTCCAGCCTCCTCTGCAGCAGCCCATACTCCTGGATCAGAGTTCCCAGCAGGGCCCACTTACTCTCCAGCTGGTTCCCAAACTCCACCACTGTCTTCTCACAGCTGACTAGTTTCTTCTCAGTCATCCCTGTTCTCCCTTCCAGATTCAGCAAACATGCAGCATGAGAATCAACCCTCCTCTCCATGTCTTGAACAGCAGCCACAAGAGTCAGGGAAATCTCTGCAGTCTGCAGTTGCATCTCTCTCTGCGAGGTTTGTTTGAGGCCGGAGGGGGGATGCAAAAGTGTCAGGTGCTGAGATTCTAGGTCCCGTTTTGGAGCCTGTTAGCAAGGACAGAAATTGAAAGTGGGGAATGTGACACTGACAAATCTGGCAGTCTCCTTTCCCCATGTCAGGTGTTTGTCTAGCATCCAGCACAATGCAGCTCCAACTGTAATGAGGGGAAGAGGGTTTTACTGTGATCCAAATAAATATAATATGGAAATGAGAGCCAGGCTACCTTCTTTCCCAGTCATGTACTACTGCCAGTAGTCAGGGTTCAGCAAAGCAACTTCTACCCTTATGGCTATTTTGGCCATATTAAATTATGTATATGATACATCAATTATACCCTCTTGGGCACACCTATAACCCCACTGCCTTCAGCAGGCTTTCACAGGGGTGACTCTGCACGAGACCTACACAAGTCCGTTGTTGACCCACAGGAAACAGACTCCAGCGAGCGGCGCTGGCTGACAGGAGCCGAAAGCAGGAGCCGCGGGTGTTTGCCCGTGGAGCGCGCAGCTCTGGTTTTGAGCAGACCCCCGGAGTCTGCGGGGGCACGGCAGAAAGACCCAGCTACGGGTGCGGGGGCCCGGGCGAGGCGCGCGGGGCACGGAGACGGGAGGGCCCCGGGCTGCTCGCCGGGGCAGCGCTGCACACTCACCGGGTGGGGACTGGGCTCGCTGGGCACCGGGGGGGCCGCGCCGCGAGGCCATGACGGGCTCCGCAGCGGGAGCCGGGGAGACTGGGGCGGGGCGGTGCCTGCAGCCGGGGGAGCAGCAAAGCCCCGGGCCCTGCTCCCCGGGCCGGCCGCAAGGGGCCCCGCACAGGCCGGAGACGCCCCCAGTGCCTGGGAAACTCCAACCGGGGCAGCCCGGGGAGAAGCTCCCGGGGCCCGAGGCCCCCCCCGCCCGCCCGCCCGCCCGCCGGGCCCTTACCTGGGCAGCGGCCCGCTCGGCCATGGCGCCCCCGGGCGGGGCTGCTCCCGCGGGCCCGGCCCGGCCGAGCCCCGCTCCCGCTGCGGGCTGGGCAGAGTCCCGGCGCCGCCTCGCCACGGGCCGGCCCCGCTGCCGGGCGGAGCAGAGCGAGCGCGGCCCGCAGGGCGGGAGGGAGGGAGCCGCGGCCTGGCTGCCGGGGGCCGCTCTGGGCCGCCAACCAGGAGCGGCGCCTGGCTCCGCCCCCTCCAGGCCTCCCTCCCCGCGGCCCCGCCCACTCTCCGCCCCAAGCCCCGCCCACGCCCCGCCCGCCCGTCTCCTCCGAGCGCTCCCCCTGTGTGTAACTCTGCTGCCATCCGCTAGAGGGCAGCGGTGCCCGCACACATTGGGCTGTTCCCCGCCCGCCTGCACAACGCCCCCCTGGAAGGTGGGCTGGGTGCATGGGATCCTGGGGCCGCCCCTCACTCTGTCTCTGCAGGAGAGTCCCCCGGAGGGGGGGTGTCAGATTAGGGAGAGCAGGCAGCAAGTGTGAAAAATGGGGACAGGGAGTGTGTGTGTGTGGGGGGTAATAGGTGCTTATATAAGACCAAGCCCCGAATATATAAGGTGGATAGAAAGTTGGCTAGATTGTCGGGCTCAACGGGTAGTGATCAATGGCTCCATGTCTAGTTGGCAGCCGGTATCAAGTGGAGTGCCCCAAGGGTCGGTCCTGGGGCAGGTTTTGTTCACTATCTTCATTAATGATCTGGAGGACGGCATGGATTGCACCCTCAGCAAGTTTGCAGAGGACACTAAACTGGGAGGAGAGGTAAATACACTGGAGGGTAGGGATAGGATACAGAGGGACCTAGACAAATTAGAGGATTCGGCCAAAAGAAATCTGATGAGGTTCAACAAGGACAAGTGCAGAGTCCTGCACTTAGGACGGACGAATCCCATGCACTGCTACAGACTAGGGACCGAATGGCTCGGCAGCAGTTCTGCAGAAAAGGACCTAGGGATTACAGTGGACGAGAAGCTGGATATGAGTCAACAGTGTGCCCTTGTTGCCAAGAAGGTCAATGGCATTTTGGGATGTATAAGTAGGGGCATTGTCGGCAGATCGAGGGACATGATCGTTCCCCTCTATTCAACACTGGTGAGGCCTCATCTGGAGTACTGTGTCCAGTTATGGGCCCCACACTACAAGAAGGATGTGGAAAAATTGGAAAGAGTCCAGCGGAGGGCAACAAAAATTATTAGGGGACTGGAACACATGAGTTATGAGGAGTGGCTGAGGGAACTGGGGATGTTTAGTCTATGGAAAAGAATGAGGGGAGATTTGATAGCTGCTTTCAACTACCTGAAAGGGGTTCTAAAGAGGATGGCTCTAGACTGTTCTCAGTGGGAGCAGATGACAGAACAAGGAGTAATGGTCTCAAGTTGCAGTGGGCAAGGTTTAGGTTGGATATTAGGAAAAACTTTTTCACTAGGAGGGTGGTGAAACACTGGAATGTGTTACCTAGGGAGGTGGTGGAATCTCCTTCCCTAGAAGTTTTTAAGGTCAGGCTTGACAAAGCCCTGGCTGGGATGATTTAGTCAGGGATCGGTCCTGCTTTGAACAGGGGGTTAGACTAGATGACCTCCTGAGGTCCCTTCCAACCCTGATATTCTATGATTCTATGATCAGGCCTGTCCCTATGAAATGAGGACATCTGGTCGCCCTAGGTCAGCTCCTAACCGGGCACTAGCTTGATCTTCTCAAATAGGCGATTTCACCGATTTTCAACAAGAAACTATTAGGCTAGTCCCCAGACCAGGCCACAGGCACAGCTCGCCCCAGGGGTAGCCAGGGCTCCTCGTGTCTGATGGGGGCAGCTGGCTGGGAGTTCATAGCAGCGCTGCTCAGGCACGAAGACCCGAGCCCTGTGCAAAGGGGTGGGGGTAGATGCGCCCCCAGCACGGGCAGGGGGCAGACGCAGACCCCAAGAGCCGGCCCAGACGGAACGCGCGACACGCGCCCTGCGCTCCGCCCACGGTAGGTGGCGCTGTTCCTACGCGGGCAGGCTCCTGGGACCCCTTCTCTTTGCAGGAGCGGGGCGGGGCGCCAACTCCCGGCATGCACTCTGCCTCCCCGGCGTGGCCGCGCTGCCCAGCCCCAGCCCCTAGCGAGGCGGCGCCGGGACTCTGCCCAGCCCGCAGCGGGAGCGGGGCTCGGCCGGGCCGGGCCCGTGGGAGCAGCCCCGCCCGGGGGGGCCATGGCCGAGCGGGCCGCTGCCCAGGTAAGGGCCCGGCGGGCGGGGGGGCCTCGGGCCCCGGGAGCTTCTCCCCGCCCGGCCCGGGCCCCGGGAGCGGCCCGCGGGGAGCGCGGCGCTGCCCGGCCAGGCTGGGGCTGAGCCCCGGGGCGGGGGCGGCCGGTCCCGGGGTCCCGGGCAGCAGCGGGGGTGGCTCCGGCTGGGAGCAGGGCCCGGGGCTTTGGTGCTTCCCCCGCTGCAGGGACCGGCGCCCCCGCTCGGCCCAAATACCCTGAGGCAGGTGTCGGGTCCGTGCCAGGTACCGCCCGGGGTTTGCTCTTGCCGGGGGCGCAGAGGCTGCTGGAGCGTCTGTCCGGAGTAGCCCCGGAGGCTGCTGTGGGCTGCGCGCTCGGTGGCGCAGGTGCCGGAGCGGAACCTGTCTGGCCGGGGAGTGTCCCGGGCTGCGCCCTGCTCCCCTGGACGCACAGTAAACCGCGGGCCGGTCAGGAGCCTTCCCGCCTACGGGGCTGCTGCCGCTCTTCGGCCCCCAGCGCCCTGGGGAAGACTGTGCGCCATCTCCATGGGGTGCCAGGGTCGTCCTCTGCGGGTTCAGTTGTAGGCTTGGGACCTGATTTTTAGACACGACGAGTGAGTGTAACAAGGAGAAGGGAATGGATATGGGGCTCTCACAGCTATAGGATTATCTGTCAGTCAGCCAGTTAGGCCCTGGTCCTGCACAGTGTTCCTTGGTGATGGCGCTTCTGCGCTCATCCCTAGTCCTGTTGATTTCAGTGGGGCAATGCACAGGGTTCTGCCCACACAGAGCAGCCTGCAGGATTTAGGTATTGGATGTATGCATATTCTGGTGGTTCAGTTAAGTGTGGTTTTTTTTTTTTTCATAAAACATTACTATTGTCGAGTTGCTTTTTGTGGGCATTGTGGAAGAAGTGAGTCTTAAGGAGGGGTTTGAGTGAAGTGTGTGTTTCAGCTTGGCAGACAAGAATTGGTCAGGCCAGAATATTCTAAAGAAAGAAAATAGCAGAATTGCTGTAATGAATTTAGCAAATCAGCGGCAGCTCTGCTGATGTAACCTGTGGGTCAAGTCCCAGACCAATGTATTATAAACCTCTAAACATTACCTATAGTGAAAATGTTAACAGATCTTTTGACTATTCTATCCAAATTAGAACTGCAGAGTGCTCAAAAGTTTGCCTTAATAGGGTTTATGTGAAGATTTTCTTTCACATGACTCCTTATGAAATTCCCATCCCAAATATTGTTTTATTAAAGACTAACAGATTTATTTGGGCATAAGCTTTCATGGGTAAAAAACCCACTTCTTTAGATGCATGTGAAAATTTTCTTTAGTGAAAATTACAGATGCAGGCAAAAATATATGTTGGCACATGAAGAGAAGGGAGTTACCTTACAAGTGGAGAACCAATGTTGAAGGCCAGTTTAGACAGGATGGATGTGGTCCACGCCCAATAACTGATGAGGAGGTGTCAATACCAAGAGACGGAAAATTGGGGACAACTTATACCTTCAAGTCAGTGGCACTGCAATGGGTACCCGCATGGCCCCACAGTATGCCAACATTTTTATGGCTGACTTAGAACAACAGTTCCTCAGCTCTTGTCCCCTAGCACCCCTCCTCTACTTATGCTACACTGATGACATCTTCATCATATGGACCCATGGGAAGGAGGCCCTTGAAGAATTCCACCTGGATTTCAACAATTTCCACCCTGTCATCAACCTCAGACTGGACTAGTCCACACAAGAGATCCATTTCCTGGACACTACAGTGCAAATAAGTGATGGTCTCATAAACACCACCCTATACCGGAAACCTACTGACCGCTATGCTTACCTACATGCCTCCAGCTTTCATCCAGACCACACCACGCAATTCATTGTCTATAGCCAAGCCCTAAGATTCAACCGCATTTGCTCCAGTCTCTCAGACAGAGACAAACACCTACAAGATCTCTATCAAGCATTCTTAAAACTACAATACCCACCTGGGGAAGTGAGAAAACAGATCGCCAGAGCGAGATGGGTCCCCAGAAGTCACCTATTACAGGACAGGCCCAACAAGGAAAATAACAGACCACCACTGGCCATCACATACAGCCCCTAGCTAAAACCTCTCCAGCGCATCATCAACGATCTACAACCTATCCTGGAAAACGATCTCACAGGCCTTGGGAGGCAGGCTAATCCTTGCTTACAGACAGCCCCCAACCTGAAGCAAATACTCACCAGCAACTATACATCACACCACAGAAACACTAACCCAGGAGCCAATCCCTGTAACAAACCCAGTTGCCTTCTCTATCCCCATATCTACTCTAGCAACACCATGATAGGACCCAACCACACCATCAGAGGCTCATTCACCTGCACATCTGCTAATGTGATATATATGCCATTATGTGCCAGCAATGCCCCTCTGCCATGTACATTGGCCAAACCAGACAGTCTCTTTGTGAAAGGATAAATGGACACAAATCAGACATCAGGAATGGTAACATACAAAAGCCAGTAGGAGAACAGTTCAATCTCCCTGGACACTCAATAACAGATTTAAAAGTAGCCATGCTTCAACAAAAAACCTTCAAAAACAGACTTCAAAGAGAAACTGCAGAACTACAATCCATTTGCAAACTTAACACAATCAATTTGGGCTTGAAGAGGGACTGGGAGTAGCTGGCTCCCTACAAAAGCAATTTTCCCTCTCTTGGTATTGACACCTCCTCATCAATTATTGGTAGTGGACCACATCCCCCCTGACTGAATTGGCCTTTTCATCACTGGTTCTCCACTGGTAAGGTAACTCCCTTCTCTTCATGTGCCAATATATATTATTTATGCCTGTATCTGTAATTTTCACTCCATTCATCTGAAGAAGTGGATTTTTTACCCACGAAAATGTATGCTCAAATAAATCTTAGTGTTTAAGGTGCCACCAGACACCTTTTTGTTTTTGTGGATACAGACTAATTTGGCTACCCCTCTAAATCTCGTTTTGAGTGTCAAACAGACCCAAAGCCTCAAATCAAATCTCAGTAGTAACCAGAGTTTTGCTTGGCTCTGTTGCAAACTGTCCCAGGTGTGTTAGCAAGGCTTATGAACCTTAGTGGTGCACATCATCTGAGTTTTCACTTCGTAATAATCCCAGCACAGATGGGTTGGTGTGGTGGTGTTTGCTTTGTATTACAATAATGCCCGAAGGCCCCAACCAAGATCAGAACTTCAATGTGCTCAGCCTATACAAACCCATAGTAAAAGACAGTCGTTGCTCCGAAGTGCTAACCGTGTAGACAAGAAGCAGTCACAGAGAGGTGAAATTACACAACACGTGTTACAACACAGATCAGTGGCAGAGGTGGGAATAGAACCCAGGTCTCCTGACTATCAGTCCACTAGATCATATATTGGTTTTGTTGGGACTGTTTTGCACAACTCTAAATTTGACCCTATTAAAAACAAAGATCTAATTGCAAGGTTTGAACAGCCTGTAGCACGTGATCTACTTCTATGTTGTTTCTCTTTGTAGCTTATTTTGCTAGTTGGGAACATAAACCCAGCTCTCTTTAATTTTTGTCCTTGCAAACAGGCATCAGAATGGGACACAGAGGTACAAGCTCCCCTTATCCCAGATGTAAGTTTTGTGAAAGAAACCCAACTGCAGACTGCGGCTATTTCCTTGTGGACTGTGGTAGCTGCTGTTCAAGCGGTGGAGAGGAAAGTGGAGTCTCATGCTATGCGATTGCTGAATTTGGAGCGGAGATCAGGGACAGCTGAGAAGAAATTTGTGGACTGTGAGAAAACAGTGGTAGAGTTTGGTAACCAACTGGAAAGTAAGTGGGCCGTGCTGGGAACTCTGATCCAGGAGTATGGACTGCTGCAGAGAAGACTGGAGAACATGGAGAACCTGCTGAAGAATAGGAACTTCTGGATCCTAAGAATTCCCCCTGCTAGTAAAGGAGAAGACCCAAAGGTAACAGTAACCCATCTAGTACTTTCGTGTAAAACTAATGTATACTGTATCGGAGAAGTTTTTATGTCCCTATAAATCACCATTGTAAAATAGCTTGGCTGGAAGGAGCAGTCTGACTGGCTGCTAGCTGTATTGCTTATTAAGCAAGTACTTGATCCACAAGATATGTGAAAGCAATTATGAAATGTATACCCATGTTGCACTGCCCTACTCCGGTGTATCATGCAGAATGAGCATTCTGCTGCAGTCTAGCGAACAGTTCAATATAAAAAAAAGAAAAATCTTTTTTTTTTAAAAAACAAAACAAGAAATTTCATATAAAAATCCCTATGTTAAAATAATTTTATGCTTCCAAAGTGAAACACTTAAGTCTGGAAATGCCAAAATCCGTTGCTCCCCTAAACTTAAGTCTGCTTCTTTATCCATATGCATTACAGTACAGTCCCTAGGTGGGCATGATTACATGCTGTTTTCCCTGGGACCCTGGACCCCTGCCTCACACAATAAAGGTGGGCACTATCTAGTGCGGTGTTTATCCCAGACTTTATCATGCCGTGACCCCCTTTGGGTTCACCTCTGTTAATGCGACATGCCCCCGCCCCCAGGAATTAGCATACAGGATGGACAAAATAAAATTCCATCTTAACAGCCTGTTTGAAAACTGTTGGTGGATAGCCAGGCCCAAATTAACCAATGCATACTCGCACAAGGCCTCTGTTTTGGGGGGCCCTGACCACTGGACCATAATAAGGGATAGGCAACTGGCAGCCCGGGCGGGGGGCACATGAAACCTGCCAGATCTTTTTATTTGGCCCGCCACCGTGTGCGCAGAAAGGGGAAGGCTCTGCCCCCTCCGCCTTCCTCATCTCACCAGTTGCTCCTGTGCCCTCCATGTGGGGCTTGTGACCAGCTGCCAGCCATTAAAGGCATGCTGCCCCTACTGTATGAGAGCATTTTATGGCTCTGGTAGCAGATGGTGCTGCCTAGCTGCCCAAAGAGCTGGTTGCTTCAAAGTTCTCTTTCATTTCATAGGCTACGCTTGCAAACATAACCTTCTTTTAACAAAGCTCTTTGGGTGGGATATTGGATGCTTTCAAATTTTAGATGCATTTTTCAACGTATCTTCAACCAGCTGAGTAATGCTGCTTTCCAGGATAAGTACATGGCTTAAAACTATTAACATTTTTTTTTTTAAATTAAAAATCTAAGAGAGAAGCAAACCATAACCTCCTCCTGAAAGTCTCCCAAACTTTAAGAAATGTAAGCTATAGATCTGACTTTCTGGGTAAGGACCATCTAAACAATTTCTATTAAGTTGAAAAAATATATATATTTTGCGGACATAGGTATATTAACCAAGCAAAGGACAGATGACAATGAATACAATCTACTGTTAGTCATTATAATCCACAGCCAGGTATTCATCTGTTTTTTAAAAAAAAATATTTAAATGGGGAGGAAATCTATTCAATCTGTTTTTATATAAATTATATATTTTATAGTTTTCTACATTGTTCATAAAAGGTAATGGTCTTAATGCTCTCTTCAGAGGCATGTCACTTTCTACAGGGAGAGCTGATGGGCCAGTTCCTATTGTAAAACTGGAATGACTCCATTAACTTCACTGACTATTCCAGATTCTGCTGCAAGTGAAAGCAGGATCTGGCCCAAAGTCCCATACTGTGAAAAACCACCATGTTTGGGATGGCTTCCAGTCTACAGTTTTTACCTGTTGTCTTTCCACAAACTCCGAACAAGAATGGTGTTTGAGCTGTACCTTGTTCCAGTACAGTATCTGAGAACAATGGGATAATACTTGATTCTAGAATATATGATTAAAAATAGGGCAAAATTACCATGTGCAGTTAGTCACCTCTTGGTCCATAGCCTCTCCAGCACTTCGGAAACTGAGTGATCCATGTTAAATAGCCAAGTTACGAGTAATGTGTGTTCTGTAAAGGGTTTTTGGGCCATTAGATTAGATGCATAGTGAAGTAATCTTACTGAGAGGGGCTTGGATTCCAGGGTGATGTGTTGTATAAATACTCAAAAGACAAATGTTTGTATAGTGCATGCAGTGTTCTTCAGTACTGGATAAAGCAAAGTAGATTTTTGACGTGTAGTGATGTCAGCACTAGGGGGCTGGTTAGCAAGCAGAAGTGAAAGGCATTTTTAAATAATACCTTTAACAGTCACTAGATGTATATAGATCCTCTTGAAATCAAAGGCCATAACTACATGCTCCTGACTTCTAAAATGCTTTGTCTAATTTTTTAAAAATTTTAAAGTTTCTGTGGGAATACTATTTAAAATGTTTTCCATATAAACATGACTAATCCACTCCCACTGCCTCCCAACTCACAGTGCCATTGTCGCTCCTACTGTACCTGATCTCGAGAGACCACCTCTAAGGGTAAGCAAGTAGTTCACTCTCCAAGCCCATTCCAGTCTCAATGCAGAGACTTCTAGCAAGGCCATCATTTGGTGCCAGTTTTCATGATGGTTATTCTGGAGTGGACACCTGTTGACTGGACATGGGAGGGAGACCCACCTGCTTATATACAGACCAATGGGCAGTCATCCCAAAGCTAAATTTCTGCAATTTCCAACCCATTTGTCTGTTCTACAAGGTGAAAGGATAGCTGGTGTCAGGAGGCGATAGCAGCAGAAGGTGCTGAGTGTGTGACACTTGTGATTTCAGGTCCCAGTGGCGTTTGATGATGTCTCAATCCAAATTCCCCGGGAGAAGTGGGAGAATTTGGAAGAGTGGCAGAAAGAGCTTTACAAGAATGTGATGAAGGGCAACTATGAGTCTTTGATCTCACTAGGTAAAGAGCATTTTACACTTATTGGAGGCTTTGCAATCTGACTTGATGAATTTCTTCTATCCCAAGGCTGTTCTCAACTTCTTCTGATTTCTGGTGGATCAGCACCTATCTCAGACCCTGTGTGATAGACCAGCTCCACAAATCTTCCCAATTTAGAGAGATTTCAAAAAGCTAACGGGGTTCCTGATCCCCCCACCTTCTGAGTTTTCTGGTACTGAGTTAATTGTTTTGGTGTAAGCTCCGGCCATGTCCAAAAACCTGACCTATTCATTGTGTGAAGGTGTTGCAAGATCTTCTGCATTAATGGCTGTCTCAAGGTTTCTGCCCATGTTATACTAGAAACACACATTTTTAAAATTAGGGCTTTGCAAAAGGTTCACACAAGAACCCAGGCCCACCTGATATTTGGGAGGACTAAGGTGCTGTTAATTTATGCAAACCTGAGAGTGCCAGCAAGTTTTGAGGAAGTGATTACTAGGTCCTTGCTCTGGAAACTGTCCCTTGGTACAGACTGTCTTTCTGATTATTGACTTGTCTTGAATCCCCCTTTCTATGATGAGGATTATAGCAAGGCAACTCTGGCAGTATCTGTAGGAGCCAAGGAAATCTGAGCACAGGCACCTTTGTTTTAGACTGGCTCCTTAGTCAGTGATCTCTTCCTGGAAAGAAATGAAGATCCAAGTGTCTAGTCTGATTCTTTTAGATCTGCCAGATACCTTTGATACTGCCAGCCTCACGGTATTCTTGACATGTCTGCATATCTTGCTGTGGGTGGATTGACAGCTGCTCATGAATGGTGGCAGGTTTTTCTCTCAAGATACGATGATGATGAGCTTTGGAGAAGTGTCCAACACACTTAGAGACCTTCCAGTTCCTTGATATCCTATAGGTTGCCTTTATTCTCCAGCAGCCCAGTAAAGCCCAGCAGTCTGCACTTTGGGGTTGTGTGAGGGAACCCCCCCCCCCATCCTGTAAGGAGCTCCCATTTTCCAGCAGACATTTGCTCTTCTGCATGATCTTCGTTCACCATTTCTTACATCTGTGCAGATTATCTGTCTCTTCCAGAGAGGCAAGGAGGTTGGGTTAAAACCAGGAGAACCCCTTTAAAACTAAAATCAGTACTTACTATATCCTCAATACCTCTTTTCCCTGAACAGACCATGCAATTTCCAAGCCTGATATTTTATCGCGGATTGAACAAGGGGAAGAGCTCTGTGCTGGGGAGCTGCAGGACTTGGAAGTGAGAGAGATCCATACAGAATCTAGCACAGGTGAGTAATGGACTGAAATGGAAAAGTGAGTGTAGTTAAAAGTAGGGAATTCCACCAAAGAATAGAAATATGAGGAAAAAACACATGAGTTTGATACGTTTTAACTGACCATTTTCTTATCTTCATTGCAGACGTCATTCATGACTTTCCACCTGCCCCAGTTACTTCTGTCTCTGCCGGTCCCAGCACAGGTAATACATAAAATCCACTTGGAACACTGATTGCAGTTAATGTTGAGAATCCTGCTCATGTAGTCACAGCTTAAATTCCTGTGAGCAGGTTTTTATTATCCTGCTCTTGCACCAATCTCTCCTTGTTCTGGCTCTTCAGAGTGTTCTGATCATCTGATATATTCACCCCATATTTTTTAATTTCCATTTTAACATGTGCAAACCGTCAGAACGTGCATCTCTTCCAGCAAAGAAATAGTCAAATTCACCACTGGTATATGTTAATGCAACTCTCAGTGGAGTCGTGCCAGTTTGCTCCAACCGGATACTTGGTCCATTGTGTTGGTTTCAGATCAGCTCTCAAATACTGAATAAGATGTTCCGTGGATTATACATAAGCTGTGATGTCACCCTCTTTCCTCTGAACAGAATCTCCCATTTCTACCACGGACATTATCTCATGGATTAAACAAGAAGAGGAGCAGAGCATACGAGCTCAAGAGAATGCTAAGGAACAAGAAACGCATAGAAGTACCTGCACCAGTGAGTACAGGAGTGAAATAACTGAGGAACAGTGAGTAAATTGCCTGAGAGTTACTTTCCTGAGGTGGCTGGTCCCCTGGATTTGTTGGGAGGCCCAGGCAGAGCCATCTCTCTGTACATTTTGAGTTTAGAGTGTCATCCTGGAGGGAGGACATTCCCCATGGATGCAGCTCCAATGGAAAGACAGAGGCAGGGCTTTGCTAATGAGTCGGAGGTGAAGGGGCAGCTGTTAGATTTCCAGTGGGGTACAGGTGGAGAATCCACTTGAGGGGAAAGTTTTCAGCAGCTGTGTGGGCTAGGAACCCTAGTTGCCCAAGCGTAAAAAGAGTGGGGATATGACTAATTTTTCCTCTCCTCCTGGAAAGAGTGCCCATCTCTTGTGACTGATCTCCACAGAACTGGACTTGGTCTTCAGTTTCTTTGTTATTAAAAATGGCCCAGAAGGCAGAGTATGGTGTAGAGAACCAGAAGGAGGCAGACTGCAATATGACCGATTTCCTCCAGTGTTGGGATTGAGGGCCTTGTAACATTCAGTTTTTAATTTTTTTTTAATTTTAAAGGTGCTTTATTGATAAAAGAACCAGTAGTTGCTCATTAAGTATTCATCCATGCCCCACACAGTAAATATCACCTTATACCACTTGCCAGGTAAAATGAATATTAATACTTAAACGATTTTTTGACAGCACTTGTAAGTCCCTTAATTCTTATACAGTTGGGAATGTTGTTTTTCCTCTCTCCATAACAGTGAAAGCTTCACTCCACTCCATACCAGTTTTTATTCCTATATATAAAACTTTCTGTAAACAGATAAACCCTGATCCTGTCCTGAGCTCTGTACAGTCCTCCACCTGTGCAGAACATCTTGCAAGATGGGGGCTTAAAACACTAATCACGTGTACATAGAAGGCTGGTTCCATACAGCACAAGGCTCTTCTGTGACTCTGATTTCTAGGTAAAAGTCCTCAATTTATCTTTGGAAACATCACGGGGAATGATCTTGTATTTTGAAAAGCACTAGGAAATCAGAGAGAGTGTGTCCCCTTTTATCTTGGTGTGACTGAATACAGATCTAGACACATGTATTGCCCCTTCTTAGTTCCAAAGCTTTGGATTTAGACTTTTCTTAGAAGTGAAACTCATCACAAAATAACTCAGCTCAAAATGTCGTCTTGGTGTAACGCACTAGAAAAAAAGGGGAAGATTTTCACTCGGCTTCTGTCCCACACCAGTTGTATGATCAGGCAATAAATAAGGTTTAGAGCCAGCTGTGTTGTAATTTTGGTGAAAAATGATGGGACATGGCAAGAATGATTCTTAGAGCTTCATTTTTGACTCGTCAATCTAGAGGCCAGTTTGGGGTGAGGAGCTAGCCCAATGGAGAACTCTCTGTAAATAGCTGGATATGGGTAACTTCCTAGTACAGGGTGGGCAAACTTTTTGGCCTGAGGGCCACATCTGGGTGGGAAATTATATGCAGGGCCGTGAATGTAGGGAAGGGGGGTTGGGTATGGGACGGGGTGCGGTGTGCAGGAAGGGGCTTAGGGCAAGGGGTGGGGGTGCAGGAGGGGACTCAGGGCAGGGGGTTGGGGTGCAGGAGGAGTGCGGGGTAGGGCAGGAGGTTGGGGTGCAGGGTGCAGGAGGGGTTTAGGGTGCGGGCTCTGGCCCAGTGCCACTTACCTTGAGCAGTTCTGGGGTGGCAGCGGTTTGCAGTGGGGCTAAGGCAGGCTCCCTGCCTGCCCTGGCCCCGTGCCGCTCCCAGAAGCAGCTAGCATGTCCGACAGTGACTCCTGGGGGTGGAGTGGGGCAGGCGGCTCTGTCGCGCGCTGCCCTCGCCTGTGGGTACCACCCTTGAAACTTCCATTGGCCACGGTTCCCCGTTCCCGCCCAGTGGGAGCTGCGAGGGGCGGTGCCTGAAAACAAGGAAAGCGCACGGAGCCCTCTGCTCCCCCAGGGGCCGCAGGGACATGGTGCCAGCTGCTTCCAGGAGTGGTGTGGGGCCAGGGAAGGCAGGGAGCCTGTCTTAGCCCTGCTGCACCATGGGCTGGCATTCTTGCGGGCCAGATTGAAAGCCTTGACGGGCTATAGTTTGCCCTCCCCTGTTCTAGTACCTACAGATTGAGAGTGAAGTCTTTCTTACCTGGCACTGTTTCAACAGACCATTCCGAGCATTTCTGTAGCACATGTAGAAGAGAAATCCAACTTCATGGGATTCCATTATGAATCAGAAACCTCCAAATCTTAAGGGGTTTCTTTATTTCAAATTGATGCATAAGTAACGTAAGGATTATCTCCTCCTTCCCCCCCCCCCACTCTCCCCCCGCTCCCCCTCTAGCAGATGATAGGTTCTTGGTCAAACATGAGGAGCGTCCTCAGGAGAGAGGTCCTGTGAACCAGGAACTGCCTGTGACCTTATCAGGAAGATCAGAAGCATGTGTTTTCCAAGTAGCCAGCTGCGAAAATCAGCCCAATTCAAACATGCAGCTCATCTCAAACGCAACCTCTACAGCACACAGTCTGGGGGAATCCACTCAAGGTGAAACAGAGTTTGGTCAGTTTCCAAACGTCGCCGCCCAACAGGGAAGCCAACTGGGAGAAAGACCATATTTGTGCAGTGAGTGTGGGAGGTGCTTCAGCCAGAAAGACATCTTCATATCACATCAGAGAACCCACACCGCTGAGAAACCCTATTCCTGCTCCGAGTGCGGGAAAAAGTTTGCCCAGCAATCCAATCTGAACAACCACTTCCGGCTCCACACAGGTGAGAGGCTTTATGTGTGTTCACAGTGCGGGAAGAGCTTCATCCACCAGTCCAGGCTCACCTACCACTACAGAGTCCACACGGGAGAGCGGCCCTACATGTGCACAGAGTGTGGGAAGGGCTTCACCGAGCAATCCAAATTAACAAACCACTGTCGAATCCACACAGGTGAGAGGCCACACACCTGTGCCGAGTGCGGGAAGAGCTTCAGTCTGAAGATAAGCCTTATAATTCACCAGAGAAACCACGCCAAGGAAAGACCTTATGAATGCACTGAATGTGGCTTAAACTTCAATTGTCACTCAGGACTCATCAGGCATCAGATGATTCACACGGGGGAGCGGCCCTATAAATGCGCAGACTGTGGGAAAGGCTTCATGCGGAAGGAGCATCTTCTGAACCACCAGCGACTGCACACGGGAGAGAGACCCTACCAATGTACGGTGTGCGGGAAGAGCTTCATTCGGAAGCATCATCTTCTGAAACATCAGCGGATCCACACGGGGGAGCGGCCCTACCAGTGTGCCGAGTGTGGCAAAAGCTTTAGGTATAAACAGTCGCTCAAAGATCACCTGAGAATTCATAGCGCAGAGCAGAGGCAGCCGGAAATTTCCCAGGGCCTTTTGCAGGAAATAGAAACTGGGCTCCTTGATGTTAAAATAGAAAATACATGGTAGCATGATTGTAAATAGTTGCCTAATAAAAGTACATCAGCTCCAGCAAATTGGAAGAGGATGTTATCGCGTTATAAAGGTAAGTAAAAGCAGACATTCAAACTTCCCTCTCTTAGAGGAGCACACTCATGAGCTTCTAAATCCATGAGCCCTTGAGAAGAAAGGATGCTCAGTGTGCTCACGTGAACTCTACAAAGGGGAAGGGAGGGCATGAACCTTGGCTTTATATCTGTCAAACTCATTATTGAGATGATTTTTACTTTAGTGTTGGTCCAACTCCTGTTTGAAGACCTTTCCAGTTAAAGCTTACCTTGCTGTGTATGTCAATCTGTTATACACACACACACACACACACACACTGTATAAAAATGTATTGAATCTTTATTTTGAGCAGTCAATGCTTTTCTTTAGTTCTTGGACTTTATTTTAGGGAAAACAGGAACATGAGGTTAGATGTGACCCAGGTGAGAACTTTTTAAAAAATAATAATAATCCACTTGTTTTTAAAAAACAATACTGTTAGGATCCTGCAATGTTTTACAGATTAAACACTTTCCAAAAGAGCCTCATCAACATGAACCATGTCTTGGAAAACTTGAGTGGTCCCTTCTGAGAATTCGCTGATTTTAAAAAAAATGCTACAGAGTTAATGTAGTTTTTATAAGATAGTCAAGTGTTGCTTGCGTGCATAACACTGCCGATATTAAGTGTAAGATCACTATTTATAAACCAAACATTTATTACTATGTGATTTTATTAAGTGTTGGGTTTTCTTTCTCTCAAAAAAGACAAGATTTTTGCAATTCCTCAGTATTTAAAAGTCTAATGACTGGAAACAAAGTGGGTTTTCTGTACATATGGGAAATGAGAAAACTACATAAAAAATTATCCAAGAACTTTTGTTTTAAAGATTTTTTTTTTCTCCAGCCATGCAACTGAAATAATGTTGTAGTACTGTGATCACTCCATTAGCTAACACATCTCCATGCTGGGATATTAGTGGCCCTACAGCCTGTAAATGGTGCTGTTTGTACACAGATTCCAGGGGGGAAAGAATTCTTTGGTGGGTAGGGAATGTAATTCTTCTGAGGCACTTTGTTCTCCTTTGTTTAAACATTGATGGACGGGATAATATGGGTGTATGCTTCTGCATAGCTCTTTATTACATGGCTTAGTCACGTGTGCAAAGTGTAAACTAATTTTGCTCTATTGCTAGCCTAGCACCAAATTAAGGTTCTGATCATTTAACTTTGTGAGACTGAGCAGACTGCTGCATCAAGCCCTGCTGAAGACAGTGCGGCTCTGTACGGACACAACTGCCCACATGGAGGAAGTTGCAGGATTGGGGCCTAAATTTGATTGTATATGCACCAAGGCCCTGATCCAGTCTCCCCTGAAGCCAATGAGTTTTTTCCAGGGCAGGGGCAGGCTGCCAGTGTGCTAAAATATAGAAAACTCAGCACAAGGACCAAAAAGACCCTGCAATTGTGACATTTAGTATAGAGTTGGGGCTTGTGGGGGGGTGGGTGTTCTAATTTTTGCTTGGCTGCTGTTTTTAGGCTTCCTAGTTATCCTGTAAAGAACCAAAGTCCGGGGGGGAAAATCGCTGCAAAAATAAGTCTGATAAATATCTTCCACCATGCTTAGGAGCCAGGTCTTCAATCTCTGAATCAGAACAAAAATTTGTGAGGGGGTAACACTGAAAACTCAATTTTGTTTTTCACTTACATTAATTGCAGCTGGCTGCTAATAAGTGTTCGCATCAGAGAAGTGCATGCCCCTGTGGACTTAACATGAAGCTACTGCAGTGCATTCAGGTCAAAAACATCTTTGTAAAGATTATAGTATATACTGGACTCAGGTCTTAGTTTCAGGAGAATATTGACCTGAGGCTTAAGAGTTTCTGAGCACTGTCCAGGCCTCTCAGGATTTGGCCTATTATAGTTAGGTTGAATGAAAAGGAATTACTTGTAATGGGTAACTGGCCATTCACTCTGCAGTTTCAGGCCTTCTGTTCCATCAGTAGTCACTATGGCAACAGTTTTCCCCCTTTTTCTAAACCTCAACGCACATGAACAAGTAAGTATGTCCATTCCTGTTTACTGCTATTGTCAGTCTGCTCTAGAAAATAGATGGGGGTGCAGAGAATACCTTTCAGCAGCCTGGGTGTAATCATCCAGCGACTTTGATATATAGTCGATACCATTGTGTTCATTTAAATCACTGTGAACACATCCATACAACCTTTTAAGTCTCTGCTTTTGTATAAACTGCCAGCACTTGAATAATTTTAACATCTTTGGCATGAGAAAGCTTGTGTGTTAACTTTTATGGACCAATAAATGTTATTACCTGATTTATCCTGTCTGCTGTGTTTTAACACGTTGTATTAGAGGTTTTGTCAGTCTGACGTAACACAGGAGGTCATCTGAAGCATGAGCATTTTCCCAAGATGGATAGATTCTCCTGCAGCTAAAATCCTCTTCCTAGCAGCTTCTTTCTTGTCATCACCTCTCCTTCCTTCCCATTTTAAGTGTGCTGCAGTTAGTCAAAGGACTTCCTTTGGGTCAGTAAATGGCAAGCAGCAAAATGGAAGAGAAAAAAACATGCTTACTTACATTGGAAGCTCTTTGGGGCAGGGATTCCTTTTACTCTGTTTGTACCCCATCTAGTACAATGGAGTCCTGCTCCATAACTGCAACTCCTAGGTGCTACTGCCATACAAATAAATAATGTTTCAATCTTGCATAAGGCCTGTAGCTTTAAACAATGTTTAAACCGCTTTGGCACAGTTTAAAACATGGTTCTAGTTGAAAACGTGTAAATATACTTTAGCTCACCAGTGTGGAAAGAGGGCTTTTAAGTGAATTAGAAATTATTTTTGAACAGAACTTCTTGTACTGTTTATCAGGATGTGTGGTTAAACTGGTGCAGCAAGAACAGTGGAAGGTGTTGTTCTACCCTGAAAAGTGAAATTGAAAATAGCAACTTCTTACTCAAAAGCTCTGCTCCTATGTGTCTTGAGAGCCTTAGCTCCTGACTTCATTAACAAAACTAAGTTTTTCTTCTGCTTAGCCTGTTTAAGTCTGCAGAGCCAACACAATTAAGAGAAGGAGCTGGAGTCTATTCCTTCATGTGCATCATTGTTACTACATCCTATGCAGTTACACCTCTGTAAACCCATTAAAAGCAATGAGGTTTCATGGCCGTTGATGGCTTAATTTGGGGCTATATAAGACAGAACCTAGCCTGATTCAGATAAATCCAGTCTGAGATTCCAGGGCTGGGAAAAACAAATTTTACTTATTAAATGTGCTTATGTTACAGAGAAATAATTGAATGACAGTAAACAAGCCCCTACAATGCCAATTTGAGAGTTGCTTTTCAGAACAGAAATACACTTTTTAAAGAGCATGTAGATCCTTTACAAAAGAGTCTGAAAGCTCTATAACAGAGGGTGGTGCCCTAATGCCCCTTCTTTAGTGCTTTACATTTCCACTGCCCTGTGTCAACAGGAATTAATGCTCTTCACCAGTAGACGGGTGGCCTGTAATATACAGAAGGTCGGACTAGATCTGCTAGTCCCTTCTAGCTTTTAACTGTATGACTATTTGCGTCAGGCTCACCTACAAACCATGTACTGCCTTTGGCAGTGGGGGCTGCTGCCAGAGACGATTAGAGCAGCATGGGAAATTAAAGGGACAAAATTAATCTATTCACAAAGTACAGCTAGGGTTTTTTTCTCCTGGACGGTACAGCCCAAATGAATTATGGAACCAGTAGTGAGGTAGGCCCAAATGCTGGCCATCATTATAGGGGAGGAAAGGGGCTGTAAGGTGGCTCCGCACTGGGCTCCTGTCTGAACAGGTTGTGTGGCTGGTGTGGTGTGCGTAGGGAGAGGTGTGGTGGTGCGACAGGTATGGACAAGGATAAGAGCTCACCCAAAAATAGGTTTCAGAGGAACAGCTGTGTTAGTCTGTATTCGCAAAAAGAAAAGGAGTACTTGTGGCACCTTAGAGACTAACCAATTTATTTGAGCATGAGCTTTCGTGAGCTACAGCTCACTTCATCAGATGTATACCGTGGAAACTGCAGCAGACTTTATATACACACAGAGAATACCCAAAAATACTCATTCCCATTCTCACCCCGTACATCCTGCCTGCCCCCATGCAGGGGCCTTGTGAAGTTTCACTTGTATGAAACAATTCCACAGTATTTTGGAGCCAGGCTTCAACCCTTGCAGGTCCCAACAGCAATGCTGCAGGGAGGGGGTAATTGCTGTTGTATTTTTATGCCTTAGAGGCAGTAACAGCTGGGGGTGGGGGCGGCATCTATCACTGGGAGCCTGGTGCACGGGATGTGCAGTTCGCCCTTTAATTCCCGCAGCAGCTAAGCATAAAGACAGGCCTGCGCTTCCTGCAGAGGGAGGGACCCTGCATGGGAGCCGGTCATCAGCAAGGGCCCAGGGCTGGCGTCAGACAGGCTGCCCCAGACAGGAGCGGGGTGGGCCTGGCCGCGGGCACCGTGGGTGTGGAACTGGGCAGATGCAAAACGGGCTGTGGATGTGGAAGGCAGGGCGGGGACGGACCTCCAGGGCTGTCAGCCCAGGGCTGGGTTAATCGCCCGCCCCAGAGGAGGATGCACGTTCCCCAGAGAGACCCCCGGAGACCCGCCCCGGCGCTGCTCAGTGCCCACAAGGGCTCGTGCGAACAGCGGCCCGCTCCGCAGGGCGGCCCCGGGTTCAAATCCTGCGGGAACGGCGGGGTGCGTGGCCCTTCCCCGCCGCTCCCGGCCCCGGCAGCCAGGCCGCGGCTCCCTCCCTCCCTCCCGCCCTGCGGGCCGCGCTCGCTCTGCTCCGCCCGGCAGCGGGGCCGGCCCGTGGCGAGGCGGCGCCGGGACTCTGCCCAGCCCGCAGCGGGAGCGGGGCTCGGCCGGGCCGGGCCCGCGGGAGCAGCCCCGCCCGGGGGCGCCATGGCCGAGCGGGCCGCTGCCCAGGTAAGGGCCCGGCGGGCGGGGGGGCCTGGGGCCCCGGGAGCTTCTCCCCGCCCGGCCCGGGCTGCCCCGGGAGCGCGGGGCGGCGCGTTCTCTGCGCCCCCTCTCGGGGCCGGCTGGCGTCCGGGGCCGCGGCTGCTTTGCCGTGGCCCCGGGGCTAAAGCCTGCTGGGAAGGCGAGTGGCCGCGGCTCCGGCCTGGGGCAAGGCCTGCTTCGGCCGCCCTCTGCGCGCTCTCCCAGCCAGGCAGCACCCCTGGGGGCTTGCCTCGCCCGCGGCGGTTTCCCAGGGTTTCAGAGCCCTGCCAGGGGCGGGCTCGGCCCTGATGTGGGGAAGAAGAGGGGGGAGGTTCCAAAGTTACCTTGTCTCTGACCCCTTTCGCACTCCTCCCCCCCACGGCCCGGGCAGAGATTGGCTTTTGTCTCACTTGTCCCCTCTGGGTCAAGGACAATAGCCCCGTCTTCTCTGTCCTGCAACTTCTAGACCTGGCAGAGTCTTTTGGCTCTGGTGTCCTAAAACTGCCCGGGGATGTGGTGCGGGGAGCGTTTGTGTGTACCATCCTGGCTGTTAGCGCTGGGAAAGAGTGAGATCTAAATTCCAGCTCTGATCCTGAACTGATCCTGAGTGCAGATTGCTGGTGGCGGAGGGAGGAAATGTTTCATACAAGGAGTCTGGCTGGGTTCTCTAGTCTTCTTTCTCCTCTCCATCCCAATCATCCTCCCTGATTGACCTGCCTTTCTCAAGTCCCAGATCATCGGGACTCTCCCTTCAGTCAAGATCTGGGTGCAGCTCCTTTCAGAGCAATGCCTGCTGGCACAAAGTGGGCCACTTGAGGCTTGTGAAGGCCTCTCCCTGCAGCACAGCGCACTCTGCTAGCCTGGGGGACCAGATATTAGGCCCAGACTCTTAACCGCATTGGGGGAGCATAGGCTGCTGTCCCTGGGCCAGCACAACGCATGTTGGTTTGAAAGTGTAGAGAAACCTGCATTTCACCCCTGTAATACTAGGCCTGCCTCCCTTCTAATCAGGGGAGATGCCCTGAGCTGTCTGATGATGCTGATTTTGGCCGCTTAAGGTGATTGTTAAATAATAGTAAAAAAATAATTCTGCCATTCATTCATATGGCATTAGGATATGCATTACAACCTCTGCTAGGGTCTCCAACTGAGATTAGGGCCACATTGTGATGAACACTGTATCTACACATCATGAGAAACAGGCCCTGCCTTAAAGAGCTTGCAGTCTAAACAGCTAAGGCTGAACAAGGACAGGTGAAATGGACTCTTCTCATCCCCATTTACAGTGGGGTCTGATCTAGGGAGGAATGCGACTTGTTCAGTTTCACCCAAGGAGACTGTGGCAGAGATGGAAATAGACCACACATCTCCTGAGTCCCTGTCCAGTACTTTAACTATAAACCCATCCTTGTTCTCCTTCCGTTTTGGGCCCAGGGTCACTCAGGCAGAAGACCATGTTGGTGGAGATGTTGTCCTGTCATGCTCTAAGCAGAAACTTAGGAGTAAAAGCTAACGGTCATAGTTTTCAAACCAAAAGCTTTAGTGCTTTGAAATAGGGAAAAGTGCACAACGCAGGCAGAGTATTGACTGTCTACAAAGTCTGTTTTGTAATATGAAGTTATTGACCCAAAAAAAGGTTCCAAAATATGTGAACCTGTTGATGAGACCAATTTGGGGCCTTTTCAGAAAACATCAGAACAGTTTGAAAGTATATGGCAGGTGGAGTTCAAGTTTTCATGTGTTGAATTTCAGACTGATGCAGGTTAAATTGTTAGAGCGTAAAAACACAGCTGATGATGAAAATATCGACAGACTTTGACACATCTGGAGAGTGACTCTCTTAGAACAAAGATCCTGGGAGTGACAGCTTGTGTATTGTTTACCTTGCTAGATATCTTTCCATTTCTGTCCTTTCACATAGGCTCCAGAATGGGATGCAGAGTCATGGTGCCTTTGCAGCCACCTGCTGGCCCTGAAGAAATTCCCCTTAGAGAAACCCAGCTGCAAACATGACCATGGAGGCTGAAGTTCAAGCCATAGAGAAGAAGGTGGATTCTCAGGCCACGCAGTTGCTGAATCTGAATGGGAGAATGGGGACAGCTGAGAAGAAACTAGTCAGCTGTGAGGAAACAATGGTGGAGTTTGGAAACCAGCTGGAGAGTAAGTGGGCTGTGCTGGGAACTCTGATCCAGGAGTATGGGCTGCTGCAGAGGAGGCTGGAGAACATGGAGAACCTGCTGAAGAACAGGAACTTCTGGATCCTGAGGCTCCCCCCAGGCGCTAAGGGAGAAGTCAATATCCCAATATCCCAGCTGGTGCAGAGGTAAAGCTTATTGTCAGATATGAAAGGGGTGTTTGTGTCTTGTGGCTGGTAGGTTCTTTAAGGCACTGCCGATATGGATCTCACTGATAGATACTTTTGTACCCAGGAATAAAATCTGGGGGGGGAGAGATTGCCTGTCCCTTTAATTCTGGTTCCATTCTCCCAGTCAGCCCTGATGTAACTCTCAAAAAGACTTTGACATCATCTTCTGCCTCTTCTCATGCAAATTACTGGGGTGTTGGCTCATCTTCCAGAGACCTACGGTAGGAGGGGTCCCTATGTGTCTAAATTCATTCACATTGCTGACCTCCTGCTGGTGAGGTTTTCTTCCGTCTGTGTTGTCTTTTCTCATGGCCTCTCAATGTTATTTTAGGACCAAACTCTCTGCTGATGTAGGTGTACTAAAATCAGTGGAATTCCACCAGCAGAGAAATTGGCCTTTAGCCTCTATGGCTGAGGATAGTTCTGCCTCCGTGCACATTCGAATTTTGACCTGTTAGGTGTATCCACCAACAAGGGAGTTAACTGAAGCGACTTGATCGCTTCTTTGTGGACATGTAGAGTGTGTCTACACTGCACGCGCCTCATGGGTAGCTTGGGTATAAACAGCAGTGTAGACAGCGAGGCCCGGTTTAGGTGAGTAAAACCACACCAGAACATTAGGGTGTGTATCCTACATGGCTCTCGGCACACCCAAGCAGTTCCATCTCCGTCTACACTGCTGATTTTATCAGTGTATTACCCCACCCCGGGGGAAAGTATGCAGCGCTTGTGATTTCAGTCCCAGTGTCGTCTGATGCATCTCTGTATTTCTCTGAGCAGGGATGGGAGAGTGCAGCCAAATGGCAGAAGGAGCTTTGCGAGAACGTGATGAAGGGGAACTATGAGACTCTGGTCTCCCTGGGTAAGGATAAGTTCTCACTCACTTATTACAGACGTTGTGATGTGGCAAGAGCTGGGTTGGCTCTGGCTCAGAGTTATTGACCAAGGGTCAGATCCTCACTGATGTAAATTGTTTATTGAAATGAATGGAGCTGTGACAGTTTACACTAGGTGAGTACCTGCCTCCAGATCTTTATGCAGGATGCACAATGCGTTGTGTTCCTCTCCATCTGATGAGCCCTGAATCTGCTGCCAGGAGTCCAGCTCACCTTTTGCAGGAGTGCAGCTATCTCCATTTTCTGCATGCTCTTCGTTAACACTTCTGCAACTTGGTTCATAGGAGCAGGCACCTTCAGTGACAAAAAGGCGTTTAAAATCACATCAAGTTTTATGTAATTAAATACCAAAGAGCTCTATTCTTCTTCTCCATGAACAGACTCTGCGATTTCCAAACCCAGCATCCTGTCCCAGATTGAACGAGGACAGGAGCCATGTGTTGGGGATGAGCCAGAAGAGACAGAAATCCCCACGGAGCCCAGCATGGGTAAGGACATGGTTAAAACTCCAAAATCCTGGCAGGATCTTTGGATTTCTCATATCCCAGGGTTCCTTATCCTCAAGACAATTTTGACCCTCGATTTCTCCACCCACCCCAATAGGTTCTAAATGTAATAACCCCCCTTTCTGACTTTCTGCCCATTGTCCTCTGGTAGTTTTCTCTGAATCCTCATTATTACCCTGTTTACATCTATTCAGGAAAGAAATGGTTTTTGGTAGCGAAGTGTTTGAAAAGCAATCTCTAAGCATTTTGTGGATGTTGGGAAAACAGTCTCCTTCTTTCCCCTGAACAGACTCTCCAGTTCCTACACATGAGATTTCATCCTGGATTAAACAGGAGGAGGAGCTGCATATCCAGGATCAGCAGGACTCGGAGGAGAGAGAGATCCCTGAAGATCTTAGAATGGGTGAGCAATAGATTTAAACTACTGAGGAATGACAATAGAGAGCGGTGGAAATCCGATCAAACCTTCCTGAGCCTAATTCCAATCAAACCTCAAAGCCTAATTCCATTGTTTTGTACATCTGTCATAACTTTGTAACTAGCCTTTGTCGGTGCATAAGAATGGGCATGCTGGTTCCATCAAGCCCAGTGTCCTGTCTTCTGAGAGTGGCCACTGCCAGATGCTTCAGAGGGAGTGAACAAAACAGGGCAGTTTGAGTGATCTATCCTGTCGTCCAGTCCCAGCATCTAACAGTTGGAGGTTTAGGGACACCCAGAGCACGACGTTGTGTCCCTGACCATCTCAGCTAACAGTCATTGACAGACCTATCCTTCATCAACTTCTCTAATTTATTTTTTTAACCCAATTATACTTTTGGCCTTCACAACATCACCTGGAAACAAGTTCCAGAGATTGAGCGTGCATTGTGCGAGGAAGTACTTCCTTATGTTTGTGTTAAACCTACTGCCAATTAATTTTATCAAGTGACCTAATTCTTGTGTTATGTGAAGGGGTAAACAGCGCTTCCTTATTCACTTTCTCCACCCCAGTCAGGATTTTATAGACCTCTGTCATATCCCCCTTTAGCCAGCTCTTTTCTAAGATCAACAGTCTGATCTTTTTAATCTCTTCTCATATGGAAGTTGTTCCACACCCCGAATAATTTTTGCTGCTCTTCCCTGTACTTTTCCCAACTCTGATACCTTGTTTGAGATGGGGTGACCAGAACTGCATTCCGTATTCAAGATGTGGGCGTACCATGGATTTATATAGAGGCAATCGGATATTTTCTGTCATACTTTCTATCCCTTTCCTAATGAATTCCTAACAGTCTGTTCGCTTTTTTGACTGCTGCTGCACATTGAGCAGAGCAGAGAACTATCCATGATGACTCACCCCTCAAGAAAGAGATCTGGAACTGCTTATTTAGATCTCATCATTTTGTATGTGTAATTGGGTCAGATTATGTTTTCCAATATGCATTACTTTGCATTTATCGACATTGAATTTCATCTGCCATTTTGTTGCCCAGTCACCCAGTATTGTGAGGTCCCTTACACTCTTCACATTCTGCTTTGGACTTAACTATCTTGAGTAGTTTTGTGTCATCTGCAATCTTTGCCACCTCACTGTTTTATCCTTTTTTCCAGACCATTTATGAATATGTTGAACAGCCCTGGTCCCAGTACAGATCCTTGGGGGACTCTGCTAGTTACCGCTCTTCACTGTGAAAATTGACTGTTTATTTGTACCCTTTATTTCCTGTCTTTTAACCAGTTACTGAGCCATGAGAGGGCCTTCCCTCTTATCCCATGACTGTTTAGTTTGTTTAAGAGCGTTTGGTGAGGGACCTTGTCAAAAGCTCTCTGAAAGTCCAAGTACACTGGATCCCCCTTGTCCACATGTTTGTTGACCCTCTCAAAGAACTCTAGAAAATTGGTGAGGCATGAATTCTCTTCACAAAGGCTGTGTTGACTTTTCTGCCACACATTGTGTGCATCGTAGTGTCTGATCATTCTGTTCTTTACTATAGTTTCAACCAGTTTGCCTGGCACTGAAGTTAGGCTTAACGACCTGTAATTGCCAGGATTGCCTCTGGAGCCTTTTTAAAAAATTGGCGTCACATTAGCTACCCTCCTGTTACCCACACACTCTAGGGCACCCACCTTTACCCTTCCGTGGACTCAGGCTAACCCGGTTAATTTAGGCACCTACCCTTACCCAGTTCCTAGGGCTCAGGTTTGCGGGGCCTTTTACCAATGAAAGAGCCGTACACAGTATTATCCTTAACTTCTTGTTATTAACAGTTACCAAACAGAATACACACACTAAGCATACATTGCTCACTACTCCCAATAAGGCAGACAAACTTTTCCTGGTGGCCACTCAAGATTAGATCGGCAGGGGCTCCAGCTTCCCGTGTAGTGTGATTGGCAGGGTGTTGAGGTCTGGCAACTCTGATCTGGGGTAGTGTCCTGAAGTTAGGTTCCAAAAAACTTCCTTTTGGACCCCAGTTTATATAGTTAAACTTGAGTCCTGCTTAGCTCTCCCTTAACCAATCAATCGTTTTAAACGAAAGTCTACCAAACAGTTTTCAGAGTAGCAGCCGTGTTAGTCTGTATTCGCAAAAAGAAAAGGAGTACTTGTGGCACCTTAGAGACTAACCAATTTATTTGAGCATAAGCTTTCGTGAGCTACAGCTCACTTCATCGGATGCAACTACCAAACAGTGTTTTTCACCAATCACAGCCCATTACAAAACAATTCTTTACCCAGTCAGATCCCACCACTTTAGTTGATTTAAATCTTGCAAAATTAGTTATGCCACAGACAGAAACAATCAGAAAAACAGACAAAGACTATACAGATAAACAGTAGAGAAGTGGGGACCATAAAGACAAAACAATGGAAGTACAGATTTCACAATCACAACAGTTAAGTGATTCCTTGCCAGACAAAATGTCAAACAAAGTTTTCTTTAAAGATTTTAAGATCATAGAATCATAGAATATAAGGGTTGGAAGGGACCCCAGAAGGTCATCTAGTCCAACCCCCTGCTCGAAGCAGGACCAATTCCCAGTTAAATCATCCCAGCCAGGGCTTTGTCAAGCCTGACCTTAAAAACCTCTAAGGAAGGAGATTCTACGCATTCCAGTGTTTCACCATCCTCTTAGTGAAAAAGTTTTTCCTAATATCCAATCTAAACCTCCCCCACTGCAGCTTGAGACCATTACTCCTCGTTCTGTCATCTGCTACCATTGAGAACAGTCTAGAGCCATCCTCTTTGGAACCCCCTTTCAGGTAGTTGAAAGCAGCTATCAAATCCCCCTCATTCTTCTCTTCTGCAGGCTAAACAATCCCAGCTCCCTCAGCCTCTCCTCATAAGTCATGTGTTCCAGACCCCTAATCATTTTTGTTGCCCTTCGCTGACTCTCTCCAATTTATCCACATCCTTCTTGAAGTGTGGGGCCCAAAACTGGACACAGTACTCCAGATGAGGCCTCACCAATGTCGAATAGAGGGGAACGATCACATCCCTCGATCTGCTCGCTATGCCCCTACTTATACATCCCAAAATGCCATTGGCCTTCTTGGCAACAAGGGCACACTGCCGACTCATATCCAGCTTCTCGTCCACTGTCACCCCTAGGTCCTTTTCCACAGAACTGCTGCCTAGCCATTCGGTCCCTAGTCTGTAGCTGTGCATTGGGTTCTTCCGTCCTAAGTGCAGGACCCTCACTTATCCTTATTGAACCTCATCAGATTTCTTTGGCCCAATCCTCCAATTTGTCTAGGTCCTTCTGTATCCTATCCCTCCCCTCCAGCGTATCTACCACTCCTCCCAATTTAGTATCATCCGCAAATTTGCTGAGAGTGCAATCCACACCGTCCTCCAGATCATTTATGAAGATATTGAACAAAACCGGCCCCAGGACTGACCCTTGGGGCACTCCACTTGATACCGGCTGCCAACTAGACATGGAGACATTGATCACTACCCGTTGAGCCCGACAATCTAGCCAGCTTTCTACCCACCTTATAGTGCATTCTTCCAGCCCATACTTCCTTAACTTGCTGACAAGAATACTGTGGGAGACCGTGTCAAAGCTTTCTAAAGTCAAGAAACAATACATCCACTGCTTTCCCTTCATCCACAGAACCAGTAATCTCATCATAAAGGCGATTAGATTAGTCAGGCATGACCTTCCCTTGGTGAATCCATGCTGGCTGTTCCTGATCACTTTCCTCTCATGCAAGTGCTTCAGGATTGATTCTTTGAGGACCTGCTCCATGATTTTTCCAGGGACTGAGGTGAGGCTGACTGGCCTGTAGTTCCCAGGATCCTCCTTCTTCCCTTTTTTAAAGATTGGCACTACATTAGCCTTTTTCCAGTCATCCGGGACTTCCCCCGTTCGCCACGAGTTTTCAAAGATAATGGCCAATGGCTCTGCAATCACAGCCGCCAATTCCTTCAGCACTCTTGGATGCAACTCGTCCGGCCCCATGGACTTGTGCATGTCCAGCTTTTCTAAATAGTCCCTAACCACCTCTATCTCCACAGAGGGCTGGCATCTCTTCCCCATTTTGCGATGCCCAGCCAGCAGTCTGGGAGCTGACCTTGTTAGTGAAAACAGAGGCAAAAAAAGCATTGAGTACATTAGCTTTTTCCACATCCTCTGTCACTAGGTTGCCTCCCTCATTCAGTAAGGGGCCCACACTTTCTTTGGCTTTCTTCTTGTTGCCAACATACCTGAAGAAACCCTTCTTGTTACTCTTGACATCTCTGGCTAGCTGCAGCTCTAGGTGCGATTTGGTCCTCCTGATATCATTCCTACATGCCCGAGCAATATTTTTATACTCTTCCCTGGTCATATGTCCAACCTTCCACTTCTTGTAAGCCTCTTTTTTATGTTTAAGATCCGCTAGGATTTCACCATTAAGCCAAGCTGGTCGCCTTCCATATTTACTATTCTTTCGACTCATCGGGAAGGTTTGATCTGTTTCTTTATCTGGTGATGACGTGTCTTGTTAGGACAGGGGTGCCTTCTTAACAGTCTGATGTTACACTGCTTTGATGCAATTTAGATAGTGGTTCTGGTTTTGGTCCTGTAATCTGCTCTCAGTCATTCTTGTCCTCTTATACAAATTCACACAAATTCATTGTGTGCATGTGATGAATTCTAGAACCTTGTGACAAACTTCATTTATCTTGCACCACGCCTGCCCTCTGCCCATTTATCTATCTCACCTGGAACGTGCAGTGTTCAACCTCTGAGCAGCTTCAAATCAAAGCCTGCTCATCTGCTCAAGGCTCAGATAGTCACTGATTCAGAACTGACTGGCTTCAGGCCCAATGTATTACAACTCTGCAGGACTAGAAAGGGGAAGCTTATTTCACCTGAAGGGGGAAATCCCCAGCTTCCCAACAGGATGCACAGCACTTGCTTCTGGCCCTGCAAAGTCCTGAGAATAAACATAGAAACAAATATAGAAAAGTTATTTTAGGCCCCTGTTAGCAATGTTGATGACTCCGTCTTCATCTGAAAGATTTAGAATCATGGTAGCGAAGGGAGACTAGCATCAAAGGCAGAGGGATACAAAAAGAATCCCAGCAAAAGGCATTGGTTAGTTAGTTCTGTAACCTGTGGCATATGCAGAATTCATGTTGGTGCAGTCCTGTTGAAAGGCTTACCTGGCCCTTGTTTGGGGTGACTCCTGAGTTGTGTAGCCATCCCAAACTCAAGCCGATTAAAACCATTGATTGTGTACAGATTTCCAAACCCTGAAGTGTGTTCCCCTGGCAGTGGACAAGAATATTGTAGATAAATCCCATTCCTCACTCCAACTTTGAAACCTCTGATTTCCCACTGCCGTGCTGACCTGCCTTTCCTGTGTGTCTCACACTACGCCCCAGCAGGAAGGCCAGTCTGCTGCAAAGCATTCTGGGTGCTCCGACATCCTGTGGCATGTGTGTGGGAGGGCAAAGGTGAGTAAGCAGCAGGAGTGTCTGTCAGACAGGAAGGAGCAGAGGTGCTGTAGGTAGAGCCTGCGCAGGTACCAGATGACAAGCCCCAGAGAGGAAACGGTTTGGCCACCAAGCTTGTGTGTTATACACTGTGGTTTTTGCTCTAATAAAAGTTGTTCTTTCCTCTACCTTTTCCCTTCTAGACTAACGCTGCTGCCAGCCCTTTCTGCGTTATGTATTGGAGACGTCCTTCATCCGAGCCAGGTGACATCAATGTCCTGATTCTCTCTTTTGTGCCAGCAGATGCTGAGCTCACGATCAAAACAGAGGAGCAACGCCCCGAAGAAGGCCCTAGCGACCTGGAGCTTCCTGGGCCGTTGCCAGGACGAGCAGAGGAGGGAGCTTTCCAGGATGCTGAACAGGAAGCAGCCGTTGAGAGTCCTCGCACTTCGGTCAGCTCTCCAGGCAACACCCTGGGGGAACTTACTCAGCATGAAAGAGAACTCAAACCTGTTGCTGCCAAGCTCAGGGGCGATGCAGGAATAGCCCCCAATGCGTGTGCCCAATGTGGGAGGAACTTCACTCGAAAGGACATTCACCTGTCGCAGGAGAGACTCCACACGGGTGAGAGGCCCTACACCTGTGCTGACTGTGGGAAGAGCTTTAGGCTCAAGATCAGCTTTGTGAAGCACCAGAGATGCCACACCAAGGAGCGGCCCTATCCATGTAGCGAACGCCAGAAGAGCTTCAAGCGCCACTCGGCGCTCATGCGGCACCAGACGATCCACAGGGGAGAGCGGCCGTATGAATGCGACCAGTGCAACAAAAGCTACAGCCGCAAGGAGCACCTCCAGAACCACCAGCGGCTGCCCACCGGGGAGAGGCCCTTCCAGTGCGCCGCCTGCGGGAGGAGCTTCAGTCAAAAGTTCGTGCTTGTCTCGCATCAGCGGATCCACACAGGGGGGTGGCCTTATAAATGCACAGAGTGTGGGAAAGGCGTCGGTGAGAAATCCAAGCTGGCCAGCCACTGCAGGAGCCACACCGGTGAAAAGCCCTACAGCCGCGCCCAGTGCGGGAAGAGCTTCCGCCCCAAGGTGAGCTTCGTAAGGCACCAGACGAGCCATGGCAGTGAGAAGCCCTACCCGTGCGCACAGTGCGGCAAGAACTATGGTTACCTCTCCAGCCTCCTCCGTCGCCAGCTGATTCACGCGGGGCAGCGGCCACATCAGTGCAACAAGTGCGGCAAAAGCTATGCCAAGAAATACCGCCTGCGGAATCGCCAGCGTGTCCACCTGGACGAAGGATCGGAGCGGCGCATCCCCTGCGGGAAGAGCGTCTCGGGGAAGCAGGACCTCCTAAGCCACCAGCAGAGCCGTGCCGACGGACGCCATCCGTGCGCCTCGTGTGGACAAAGCGTCTGGCTCGTGGAGAGCGGCTTAAAGCACCAAAGAAACCACAGCAGGGAGAAGCCCTACGAATGCAGTGACTGGCACTTGAAGCTCTTCCCGCAGTCGGAGCTCACCCGCCACCGGAGAGTCCACACGGGGGAGAGGCCTTACAAATGCACCAAGTGTGACAAAAGCTACAGCCAGAAGTACCATCTCCTCCAGCACCTGCGCGTTCACACGGGGGAGCGGCCCCATCAGTGCAGTGACTGTGGGAAGAGCTTCATCCAGAAAGAACATCTCCTGAAACACCAGCGGATCCACGCTGGAGGGAGGCCTCACCAGTGCAGCGAATGCGGGAGAGGCTTCCGATATAAGCAGTTGCTGAAAGACCATCAGAGGGTGCATGGAGCAGAGCCAGATCACCTGGAGGCTTCCCCAAAGACTGAAGCCTGGGTTCCTTAATGCAGACATAGGTTCCAGCCTGCCACATATCTTCCAACAAGCAAAGCAAATACAATACAGCGAGTTAACACACTCACCGTGCCCTGATCTGGCAAGCACTTACAGGCGTGATTAACTTTAAGCATGTGACTTCCATGGGACCAGTCACATCCTTAGTTTTTGCAGGTTCGGTCTCCATGTCTGTATTTATCATATAGCAGCCAAAGCTACAGAACCACCTGAGCGCTGGAGGAACATTCACTGCCAGAGATCGCTCACCCTTGGAGCTGGGAGGGAGACCTGAGCCTATGTGGCAGACTCGGCTAAACTGGAAACTGACTAGAAACTTTTGATAGCTAGATTCCTCCGCGTGCCCCCCCCCCCCCCGTGTACAGCAGGGGGGTGTCTCATATCCTGCAGCTGGTGTCTTGTTAGAATTCTCATCACAGATTTGTTTTATATGTACAGTTTGTGTATGGCCCCCATGGTTTCAGGTTTGCACATGTCCATTCTCTTCTAGCTAGGAGCTGTAGGCTACTTTGTGGTTTACCACTGTTCCTCTGTGTAAAGACTCTATGGAAAGAATGGAGGGTAAGTGACCTATTGCTCACTTGCATGTCGTTTTCTAGAGACCGGACAGGACTGCTCATGCATGGCCCTGGGGGCTGGAGCCAGCCCTATCCTGGCCACTAAAAATAGGTTCTTTGGGTGAGCATAGGATTGGAAGTCCTGCATTCTAATCCTGGCTCTGCCTGTCTGGCCTTGGACTGTGCCTCCGTGGCCATGCTTGTACATGACTTTGGATAATGTGTGACTTTGTTACATTCATTGGTAATAAACTAAACGTGTTTGATTTCCTAAATAATTGGTTTAAACTGAGTTTTGAGTAACTGTCAGTGATAACGAGAGTCCAAGAGGTGGCGATTCCTACGTATGAGCCCAGGCCGCTCAGACAGATGCTGGGAGGAAAGCAGGGCTTACAACCCCAGGGCTCTTAGTGGGAACCACCCTCTTGGTGCTCCCAAACCTACTGAAGTCATGAAGGGCAGGACACTGAAGATGGACAGGCAAGTGCAAGCTGCACTCTGCCCCCAGTCCCGTCTCGAGTGCTTTTTACTCTCTTACAAAGGAGAAGTGTTGATGCATTTTGAACCAATGTATGACACTAAATAATAAAGGAGCAGGTGCAAGACATTGTGGATACTGAGTCCTGACCTCAACTGGCTAATCTGACAGCAGGAGTCGTCACAGGAGGGGGGAACAAAGACAAGGAAGGTTATGTGACTGTGTGAGCGTACAGACCCTAGCCTGAAGGTTACATAGGAGTGTTTAAATGTACGCAGCTGGATTCTAAGCCCACTTGAAGGAGTGAGTTTAAATAAATTTTTTAAAAAGCCAAATGTAGAGGCCGTGTTTTTGAACCCAACTCCATAGGAAGAAGTGAAACAGCAGTGACCCGTTTTCCTCCCACCATTTCATTGGAGGCAGGGAAATAAGTGTTCACCACAGCAGCATTCCCATAGGCGTGAATCTGTAGTCAGCAAAGCAGAGGACTTACTACAAAATTAACTGCAGCCTCAACCCATAATGTGGTGTTCTGGCAGAATTCCCATGAACTCCCAATGCGGACCCAAGGTAGAATGCATTTATTTAACCCATTTGTACCAGTGTTTCCCCCCTTCCAGAGTAGCTGGCCATCCCTACTCTAGCTGTATTGAAAATGTACTTAAATTCTGCCCAGAGACAGCCTGATCCCATGGAAAGCTGCCCAGTGGTGTCCAATGGATGTAGAATCCGATCTTAACTTCCTTTCCATGCTAAGTGGTTAAATTGCACTCTGCCTCACTTCCCTGAAGCAGAATCTGAAGGGCAGCAGAGAGCCCCTCCAGCTACCGGGGGCTAGTTAGTTATAAGCTGAGTGTGTTGAGTCAGAGCAGCCCTCTTATCACTGGGATCAACTTCCACCATCCCCACACTGAATGTGCTTGTAATGGGGGACATTCACCTCTTGAGTGCCTCCTGGTGGCTGAGTGTGGTACCGCAGTCCTTTTCCCGCTTCTGGCACTCCCCCATAGGTTGTTGACCAGGCTTGGCAGGTCTTCAGGAACTCAGCCCTCTGGCTGGCTCACACAGTCACAATAAACCCCTTCCAAAGTCCAGTGGAACTGTCTGCCCTCCCCAGAGTTTTCAGCCCCAGCTCTGGGCCCTTTAAATTCAGCCCTTCATTCAGGCTTCCAGGTTTACACCACTTTGTCGGTGGGGGAAGCTGAGATGCCCCCTGTTCCAGGTTCCACCTCAGGCCACATGCTGCCCAATTGCAAGTCTTTGCTGCTCTTTCCGTGGGCCTTTCCTGCGGCCCTCTTATCAGCACCCTTTACCTCAGGGTTAAAAGTTCTTGGGGCCTCTCTCTCCAGCTTCAGCAAATGCTGCCAGAACCTAACTCTGGTAGTCCCTCAAGCTTCTGCAGCTGGAGAGGGCACCCTGCCTCGCCCATCTGGTCCCCACCAGGAACTGACTGCTGAGCCCCTGCAGATCCTTTCATCTGACCCAGCTGGGCTCTGATTGGCTGCTTCCCTGAGGCCTCCCTAGGCAGGCCTGGATGACCCACCTTCACTGCTCTTCTCCTGGGGCAGGGTATAGTAGAACCACAGGGTTTCTTGTAGGGAGCTGTAAAAGCCAGGTGCATCCCTATTACAGTGCGATTTTAATATTTTTTAGAGTGGAGCCTCTTTCTGGGTTGCAATTCATGGCCTCTGTTATTTAGGACTAGGCCCAAAAGCAAGGTGTAAAGTGCCCCATTCATCTCAAGGAGGTGTTGAGTCTGAACCCAAATGATGACAATTTAAACATCATTAGCATTAAATATTTCACTGTTGGGCACTTGACGAGAACCGGCCACCTCCACTGGGACTATGGATGGAGTGTGAGTAGCTGGTCCCAGCCGGAGAGGCCTGCTCCACCACTGTCTCGGCCAGTGGCTGGTTCAATCACGCTCTGGTCACAATCCTTGAGCCGTGCTCAGAGCAGCTCCGTGGGTGGCGGATGCCAGAACGACCAGTTCAGGCCCCTACTGATACTTGCTAAACAATCCCAGCTGGCAAGGCAGGGGTAGCACCCTTGGGGGTGGCAATAGCAAATAAATACATGGGGAGAAGGGGCTGACTTAAGAAGATTGCTAGGGTTCAAAGTGCCCCTGAATTCTCCTATCAACCACCAGGGACCCATGGCTTGCAGTAATGCTATAACAGCCACTCCGGGCTCCTCCCCTGCGGGGCAAGCAATAGGGTCCTTGCACAAGCTGGGAGGAGGGCTGCAGGGGCCAGCCAGGCATGGGCCAGGGAGGGAGGGTAAGTGAAGGCCCTGAGCTGGGCATATGACAGGAGCCAAGAGGAGAGGACTCAGGGCAGGCCTGGCTCTTCAGCTACAGGCAGCCTGACACCCCCACAGTGAGAGCCCTGCATGGGCAGCAGCAATGGCCACCGGTCCCAGTCCAGTGCTGGCCCAAGCAGCCAGGGGAGGGCTGTGGGAAGCTGGCTGTACAAGCAGATCAGGGCCGGGGCTGGGGCTGGAGCTGTAGCCTAGCTGGGAAAGGCCGGGGTGCCTGACCGCCAGCACACACTCAAGAGTACTCTTGAGCCAGGACCACAGCCAGAGGCCAGTCCAGGGCACATTGCAGGCGCAACCTGGCTCTGAGGCCCAGATTTGGAGAGCCCCTTGAAGAACTTACCAAGGGCTCCTTCTCCCAGCAGTCTGACTCCAGGTGTAGTGGTGGGGGCTACATGGCTCAACCTATAGGAGGGACCCCAGCGTAGCTAATGTACAGGCTGGGAAGGCAGGACATGCAATACCTAGAGATCCCTGTGAATCATGCTCAATAGATAAATCCGATGGGGGCTCCAGACCCAGCTCTGCCATGGATTCCCTCACACAAGTCACTGCGCCTCTCTGTACTCCTCCGGAAAAAGGGCCAGGGGGTGAGGATTCCTATTTCTAAAGGGCTCAGAGCACCATCAGGTTACTGGTGCTAAGATGCTATGTTCCAGACGTATGCTGTTGCAGGAAACGCTAGCTGGTAACAAACCACATTGTGCGTTACAGCATCTCAGCCCTGAGGGCACCGCTGTGCCTGTCCAGCACACGCCTGGTGTGGGCAACGGAGGACGAAGGGGTGCAGTCACTGCAGCATCCTGGCATGGAGTGAGGATGTCAGTCCCTCTATACAGCTCTGGAGAGAGCAGAACTGGAATCCTCATCCACGTACGTCGGCACCAGCGAGACACAGAGGGCAAGGGGCAGGCAGGTGGCGGACATGCCCAAACACTAAGGCGAGGTGATGTGTGTAAGCCACAGCTCATAAGAGCCAAGAAGCACTGGCCACATGCAGGTGCTTGAAGTGAGTCCCCTAGGAATGGGCGGATTTTTCAGCAGGGCTGGACACTCCCAGTTCGCCACCAATGTAGGTAGGAGCTCTGAGAGCCCATCCCTTCTGCAAGCCAGGTCACCCTTTCTCAGGCCCGAGGCAGAGCCTGCGTTTGCCTGGCAGGCCAGGGCATTGCGTGCTCTGGGTGTTGCCACCCATCCAACAGGACAATAGCAAGGAACGGTGCCAAACTCTTTAGATGCCTGCAAAGTTTGAGCAGCTGACCCAGTAAGTCAATGGCAGAACTGGCCCGAGCTCCCAGGCTGGCACCCAACCCTGTACAGCTCCCTGCCTCTCCTGCTCCAGGAGAACTCCTGGCATTTCGCTAACACTGGACAAGACATGACAAACAAGTTGTGTGCTTTTGGCCTAATGCTCCAGGCACCCTCTTATTGACTAGGGTGGCTGAAGTCCTCCGCTGCCTCCCAGGAGAACGGAGGAAGCCGCGCATGGGAAGGATTCTTTCCCCCAGGTTCCTGCCAAGGTCCATTGGGATTTGGCCCAGACATATTCCACCATTAGAACATTTAAATAAAAGACCAACTGTTGACCTGAACTCAGGTCCTATTCCAAGATAATAACCAGCCACAGCACTTGTAATAAACCTTTTTATTGTCCATTTACAGCTAAGCCATTGAGTGCAAGAAATTGAGCATCGGGTTACGGTGATAGAACTGGAATCGTTACTGACTAATCAGTGCAATTGGCTCTCACCCTTGTTACCTACAGTAAAAACCATCAGTCTTTTAAGTAGGAGGCCGAGCCGGAAGCAAGAGGAGGTCTGTATTGCGGAGGCTGGATGCTGCATTCCACACACCTGTGCACCACCAGGACTACCCAGTCGACTGTGCTCCGATACCAGGCTACGTTTACAAGAACTCTTTCCCCCACCCTGTGGGCACATGTCTCTTATGGGAGGCCTGAGCTAGATATTAGTGGTAATATCTTGCACATCTCGTTCTTTGCAGTCTTCAACTATATACACTGGAAATTACCCCTTGACTCTATCACTGATATGCAGCTGCCTCTGGGGTTGAACATGGCAACGGTTTAACTACACGCAGTAACACGGCACAGCAGGAAGAATATCCCATCCGACTGAAAGTGTGGGGACAGATTTCCAAGTTGGCTGAATGCTGATACCAGAGATGGGATGGGGCCGGGATAGCACTCTGGACGCACTTCAGGAGATCTTTAATGAGGACAAGTGGTGGACCCCAGTCTTACGTCTCGTCCAAACGTCAGCACCTCCAGAAGCACTGTGTCCCTTCGCACCATGCTGGGCCCTGGGTTCAGCACCAACTCACGTGGAAGAGTCACCTTTCGAATTCCCATCCTGCCTTCAGCAGCCGGTCCCCCGTCCAAGTACTGACCTGGCGTGACCAAGCTTAGCACATGAGAGCTGATGGAGTCTCAGCCCCAGGTGAGAAAACACTCTTTAATATGTAAGCGGCGACCACTCACGGCGGTGCTCTGTCCCCCTCTAGCGGTGGCTAGGCCACAGATAGCGGTTGATGAGCCTGCCACAGCGTTGGCTAAGGCTTCTTCTATGCTTTTGGCAGCAGGTAGAGTCCAAATGCTGCAACCCCCCTAGCACAGGCATAACCAGCAGTGTAGACGGCAAGACACGGTTTAGGCGAGTAGCATGCCCTGTGCACCTGATCTCTAGGGCATATTCACCCGACACAGCTCTCTGCACGCCCAAGCAGCGCCCCCCGCGTCTACACTGCTACTTTTAACAGTGTAGTGTCCCGTCGCCGCCCCCTACCAGCGCCTTTCACTGTGGCGTGCAGCGACAGGCAAAGTGCCTGTATTCTTCACGCGGCTGTACGTGGGGACGTTTCAACAATTTTTTTAAAAAGCTCCCGAGGTGATCCCGGAAATTACAGGCCAGTAAGCCTGACTTCAGTACCAGGCAAATTGGTTGAAACTATCAGACACATAGGTGAACACAGTTTGTTGGGGAAGAGTCAAAATTGCTTTTGTAAAGGGAGCTCACGCCTCACCAATCTACTGGAATTCTTTGAGCAGGGTCACCAAACATGTGGACAAGGGTAATCCATTGGATATTGCGTACTTAGATTTTCAGAAAGCTTTTGACAAGGCCCTTACCAAAGACTCGTAAGCAGTCATGGAATAAGAGGGAAGGGCCTCTCATGGATCAGTAACTGGTTAAAAGACAGAAACCAAAGGGTAGGTATAAATGGTTGGTTTTCACAATGGCGAGAGGAAAATAGTGGTGACCCGCAGGGGTCTGTAGTGGGACCAGGGCTGTCTGACATATTCATAAGTGATCTGGAAAAAGAGGTAAACAGTGAGGTGACAAAATTTGCAAACAATACAAAATTACTCGAGATAGTTAAGTCCAAAGCAGTTTGCGAAGAGTTACAGAGGGATCTCAAAACTGGGTGACTGAGCAACAAAATGGCAGATGAAATTTAATGCTGATAAAATGCAAAGTAATACACATGGGAAAACATAATCCCAACTGACATAAAAAATGATGTATGAAGAAAGATCTTGGAGTCATCATGGATAGTTCTCTGAAAACCTCTGCTCAATGAGCAGCGGCACTCAGAAAAATGAACAGAGTGGCAATAGGAAAGGAAGAGATAACAAGAGAAAATATCAAACAGCCTCTATGTAAATCCATGGTACGCTCACACCTTGAATATTGTGTGCAGATCTGGTCACCTCATCTCAAAAACGATGGATTAGAATTGGAAAAGATACAGAGAAGGGCAACAAAACTGATTAGGGGTCTGGAACAGCTTCCATATAAGGAGAGATTAAAAAGACAGGGACTTTTCAGTTTGGAAAGGAGATGACTAAGAGGGCATATGATAGATATCTATAAAATCCTGACAGGTGGGGAGAAAGTGAATAAGGAAGTGTTATTTACTCCTTTCCGTAACACAAGAACCAGGGGTCACCCAATGAAATTAATAGGCAGCAGGTTTAAAACAAACATCAGGACAACGCACAGCCAACCTGGGGAGCTCTTTTCCCGAGGCTGTTGTGAAGCCCAAACTTGTAACAGGATTAAAAAAAAGAACTAGGTAAGTTGATGGAGGATAAGTCCATTAATGGCTATTAGCCCAGATAGTCAGGGATGCAGCTCCAGGCTCTGAGTGTCCCTAGCCTCTGTTTGCCAGAAGCTGGGAATGGGCGACAGGGGATGGTTCACTTGGTGATTCCCTGTTCTGTTCATTCCCTCTGGGGCACCTGGCATTGGCCACTGTCGGAAGACGGGACACTGGGCTAGATGGACCATTGGTCTGACCCAGCAGGGCTGTTCTTATGTTCTTAGCTTTAAACAGCTGAGTCTTTTAGCCCAAGCAGGAGAGAGGCTCATGTGTTGATATCTAGATATCCCAGGTTCAATCCCCACTGCTGGGGACTCGCCCAGAGGCATAACGAATAGCTCATATTTCAATAATTTCTCTTATGTCTTGCATATCCTCCAGCCCGCTGTATGATCCAAGCAAAGTTTTCCATGCGGATCCTTTGTCCACTGCAGTCATGAAAATAACCCTAGTGCCGTTTTTAAGGGGGAGGCACCTGGCAATTGACTAGACCCCTTCTCCACTTTGGCAGTCAGCAAAGCTGACCTTTGGAGTGACTCGCTGGCCCATGCAGCAGCTGGCTACAGATCATCGGCTGCCCAGATGTTGTGGCCCATGCAGGTGTGCCGTGTTTCTGGAAACAGAGTCACACGCTGGGAGCGGCCGTCCTGCCGTGCATTTTCTGGTGCACGAGAAACACCGACTCCACGGCGAAGGTTTTCCGGCAGTCGGTGCAGCGGAGGGGCGCGCGCCGGCCGTGGATCTGCTGGTGCTTGGTCAGCGTGGAGCGGCGGCCGAAACGCTTGTCGCACAGTTTGCAGGAGAAAGGCTTCTCGCCGGTGTGGATGCGGAGGTGCTCGGTGAGGTGCGACTGCTTGCGGAAGCTGCGGGCGCAGCGGCTGCAGGGGTAGGGCCGCTCGCCCGTGTGGAAGCCGTAATGCTTGACGAAGTCGCACTTGAAGATGAAGTGTTTCTCGCACAGGGCACACTGGTAGGGGCCGTTCTCCAGGTGCACTCGCCGGTGGACGCTGAGGTAGGAGCGCCGGCGGAATTGCTTGTGGCACAGGCTGCAGGAGAAGGGCTTCTCCTCCGTGTGGCTCGGCTGGTGCCTCTTCAAGGCCAGCGGGCTCCTGAAGCTCTGGGGGCACAGCGGGCAGGGGTGCAGCTTCTTGGCCGCGTGGCTGCTCTGGTGCTTGCTGAGGGTCGACGGCCACCTGAAGCTTTTCTCGCACAGGCCGCAGGGGTAGAGCTTGTCCTTGGCAGGAGCAGGCAGATGCTCCGGCGCCCCCCCCAGGACGCTGGCCCCTGGGAATGGCCTCTCCTCCTTGAAGGCGTGCGGTTGTGACCCGACCCCGTTCCCTTGGCCGTGGGGCCAACACGGCTCCTCTCCCCGGGGGCCGGACTCATGCTTGACGGTGCGAGTCTGCCTGCGAAAGCTCCGGTCGCCCATGCCAGGCAGACCCGGCCTCTCCCCGGTGTGAGCCCTCTCGTGCCGCTGGGCATAGGCCCGGGTGCTGAAGCTCTTGTGGCACCTGTGGCAGGGGTAGGGCTTGGCGGCTGGGTGGCTGCGGCGGGGCAGCTTGTGGACGGGCTCCCTGTCCCGGCTGGTGTGCAGGCCTGGCCGCGCGTGGGTCTCCTGGTGCTTGTTGAGGGTGGAGCGCCGGCTGAAGCTCTTGGGGCACAGGTGGCAAGGGAAGGGCTTCTCGCCGGTGTGCGTGCGGGCGTGGTCGCTGAGGTGCGAGCGCCGGCGGAACCACTGGCCGCACAAGCCGCAGGGGAAGGGCTTCTCGCCGCCGGGTGCCCGCTGGCGCCTGGCCGGGGCCCGCTGCCCGGCGAAGCTCTCAGGGCCCAGGGCGCAGGGGTAGGGCCGCTCCTCCAGGTGGGCACGCTCATGCTTGGCAGCGTAGGAACGCGTGCTGAAGCTCTTGCCGCAGACACCGCAAGAGAAGGGCTTCCCCCCGGCGTGCGTCCTCTCCTGCTGGGTCGCGTGACCCCTCCCGCTCGGGTAGGCCTTGTCCGCCTTGCGGGCCCGGCACGGCTTCGGCGGGTCATTCTGCCAGGCTGGCTCCTTGGGGCGCTCCTTGGCGTGGGTCTCCTGGTGCTTCTTGAGGGTGGAGCGCCGGCTGAAGCTCTTGGGGCAGAGGTGGCAAGGGAAGGGCTTCTCGCCGGTGTGCGTGCGGACGTGGTCGCTGAGGTGCGAGCGCCGGCGGAAGCCCTTGCCGCAGCGGTTGCAGCAGTACGGCCGCTCGCCGCTGTGCGCTCGGCAGTGCCTCACCAGGTCCGAGCGGCGCAGGAAGTCTCTGGCGCACCTGGAGCACTGCAGGAACTGATCTCGCGGCTGGTCGCCGGCCGGGGACGCGCCCGGGTAAGGCTCCTCCATGACGTGAACCTGGAGGTCATCCCTTATCTCAGTCTTGCAGATGACAACACGCTGGTCTTGGCCGCCGCTGGACAGATCCGCACCGACACCAGTCCTCTGGCTGCCGGCGGCGCCCAGCCATGGGCTGTAGCTTTCATTGTACTCGGTGCATGGAGGAGCCTCTGCCTCTTCTCCAGGGGAGCGCTGGGACTGCTGAGCACTGAAACCCGTTCCGTAGCCGCCCTCTTCTTCAATCTCTTCCTTCACGAGGCAGCGAGCCTTCTGCGGGGCTGTGCCGTCGACCTGACGCTGCCATCGCAAACTGCCGTCGCACCGCGAAGGACACTCGGGTGGAACTTCCACCTCCCTGGAGGGCTCCGTCTTGCACTTAGTCAGGACATTGGGAGCTTTGCCATCGACGTCGCCGAGAGCAACCTGGGGGGCCGTGTGCAGTTGACCACCCAAAGGTGAAGCGTTGCTCTCTGAGCCCCAAGAAATGGGCCTCCCCTCCACAGACAAAGGGAGATGCTCAGGGATTTGGATTTCAACTTCATTGTCCTCCAGTTTCACCTTTCCACTTGCATTCAGGCATTCAGCAACTGGAAGGAAACAACACTCATCTCATTAGACACACGGAAGAGTGAAGCTCCCCCTGCATTTCTTGACTAGATTTAATTCTCTTAGGAATTCCTAGTCATATTAATCTGAAACTAAGACATGACCCTGAACTCCAAAAGGGCCCATATATGAAACAGGGAGTTAGCAAGAGTAATTAACTACTGGAACAATTTACCAAGTGGATTCTCCTTCACTAACAATTTTTAAATCAAGGTGGGATTTTTTTTCTAAAAGATCTAAAAGGAATTATTTCGGGGCAGTTCTCTGGCCTGTGTCATACAGGAGAGCAGTCTGGATGATCACAGTGGTCCCTTCTGGCCTCAAAATCTATGAATCGAAGAGCAAGGCGATACTTATTCAGTGGAGACACAACCATGTATTGTGCATGGGGTCACTAATCCCAATTTCTGTACCATAAAAAGCCAGGCCGATTGCAGGTCCTGGCTGTTTCGCTGACAGAACCACACTAAGCTGTCTGTGATGACGAAGCTTTTAAGCAGGTTTCCTACTTAAAACTAGAGCTGGTTAATAAGTGGGGGGAAAAAGTTTTGCTACAAATTTCTAGACTGTTTGTTTCCTTTTCGTAGGGTTCAAAAGTGCCCCATGTTTTGTTTATTCAAAATTAATTGAAATTTTAGCAACGCATCAGTTTCTAATTTTTTCATGCACCAGAAGCCTGGAGCACAATAAAAATGTCAAGTAATTGTTTTTTAAGAAGATTTTTTCAAGAAGATTTTTCACTCTCAAAACAAGGCCCCATTTCCACAACAGAAGCTTTGGGGGTGAAATATTTCAGCCAGCTCTCCTTTGCTCAGGGACATTTCTTTTCTCTTGCCATCATTTCCCATACTCACCTATAGACACGGGGGCCAGGGCCACCCTGGCAGAGGCATCCTCCGCACTGGGCTTTCCCCCTTCCTCTGTCAGCAGCAGGAGGGCAGGTTTTGGCATATCACCACCTGCATGTCACAAACAAACAATCGGAACTAATCAGAGCCAGACCATGGCAGTCATATCCTTCTGCTAAGGGCTGTACGGCAAACCTGCCTGAACCCGTCACACGGATGTGGGCTTTCCATCACTTCCCAGGAGAGAATTGCCTACTAGTAGGTTGAGATGCAGGCCCTCCCGAGCGCTAATCCCGGCTCTGACCTAGACTCCCTCTGTGGCTTTGAGAGGCTTCACTTGGCCTCCGTGTCTGCTTTCCTGTCCTGGACTCGGGAGTCTGGCAAGTGGCTGAGAGGGGAGAAGTAGCCACGTGCAGCAGAGGAAGCTCTGGTGGTAAATCCAGAGACAGACCAGGAGATAGAGAAGTGGGGTTAGGAAGGAGCCCAGGGAAACGCCGACAGGGACGGAGACTGAGCAGCCCTGGATTGCTAGTCAGAGGGCCCTTGGGCCGGAACCTGAGTTGCGGGAGGGCCCAGGTTCCCCTACCAGCCACTGGGCAGCAGCACAGGACCGAGAGGGGGAACACAGACCATCTGAGGCAGCATCTGAACAGCTTGTCCAGTGGGCCCTTCGTACCCCACAAAGGGGAGACTGTGTAGTGGCAGGTCTGCAGGGCCGAGTTACGCGGGGGGAGCGCTTCCCGTCGCCAAGAGCCAGAGGGACCATGTGCGAGCAGCCAACCACAGGGGCACCGTGTTGTAGTATTAAAATAAAAACCAGCAGGATCTTATTAAAGGGAAAAAGGCAAAATACCACATTTATTGTGAATATAGAAAGAATCATAGTAAGCAGTTAGTTATAGCTATAACATTCCATTCAATCTCATATTTATTCACACATTCATTCATACAAACACACACACATACACACAGGTTCTGCAAGGTTGTTATCATAGTTACCAGCCTTAGAGTTGCTCATGCCAAGCCACTGGCCAGGTGGCCTGGACATGAGGAGGGAGCAGGGCCTTGTCAGATGCTCATCTGATGCTCCTGGAAGTTGGTTTGCAGAATCAGACCCCCCAAAGTTCTCACTTTTTAGAGTCTATTTTTTATAGGAATTTCTTCCTATGCCAGTCTATGGGAATTGCTTCATCATGCTGTTGCTGAATCAATCAGCAGATAGCACATTCCTGACGGCTCCAAGATGTTATCTTGTTCTTTGGTTCTCCCATTCTTGAGGCTGTTGGGTGGATTCCAGTCTGCCCTCCGGGGGGTCCTCTGGTTATTTCCACTTGACGCCTTCTTCAGCCGATGGACACTGGATTCTTAGGCTGGCACCTCCCTGATCATTCAGTTATTATCCACACCAAGCATCCATCCACATACATCCTCTATCTCTATTTTAATCACAATTGTTAATACAACAAAAGGGTGGGGAGTCTCTGGGTGTTGTTTCTGTTGTTAGAGTATTGCTTTGAGTCTCTCTCTCTGTGAATTGCTTTGAGAACAGACTCTGTCTTAGAATGTACTAACACAATTAGCAGCTTGCAAGTTTCACACATAGAGGGAGAGAAACAGTACCAAAAACCAAGAGACCTCTTAATTAGTAATACCCTGGAATTTAAACTCTGGGGAATCAAACTCATTTGTGATTTTAATACAGAACTTCTTTAATATGATCCAACATAATCCCCCTTTTGACACTAAGATTTATAATCGTCAGTGTCACTTTCTATGTAGCCTATTCAAGAGAAAGTACTGTGAGGCTATTTGAGTTTGTGATTCCAATTCATGCCACATACATGATCCTAGTGATGTATCTTTACTACAAGGTTCTGGGGCAACAGGCAAGGTGAGGCACATCCACTTTTGAGGAGTCCATTCGGTACAACCTCTAGTGTCCAATAGCTTCCCTCCCTCCCCAGCCCACTGGCTTGAGGTCCAGGGTAGCCAGAAGTATCCCATGTGTAATATGGGGAGTGGGTTAACCTTCAATACCTTTGCCTCCAGGGACTGTTGGTGTGCAATTTTGACAACAATTTCTCCCATTAACAAGTCTGGTTTACAGTACTGGAAACATATTGCATCCATTCATATTGATAAGTGTCAAACAATGATCTCTTTCTTTTTTAACAAATGCATCAAACCCTTAATATTTCCCAATATGACCCAGAACATTTTGTGTTCCAAAGTAGCTAGTGCAAGTATCTGCATTTCAGTGCATCCCATAGCTATGGCTGTGTAGTTTCCTATTTCTAATATTTTTTTTTTCTTATGGATAAGCCATGTGGTAGTATTAAGCCATTACTAAAGATTCCATCGGCCTTTTAGGTTACCCAGACCAATTTGGACCAAGTCTACATTGGCATGTACTTGTTTTTGTATCAGGCTGTCCTGTAGCTGGGACAGAAAGCTTAATTTATTTTTAAGTTCCTGCAGGTCTTCAGTATTTTTTTTTTTTAAACACACAACAGTGCTAGCAACAAGACAAAACACAAGACAAAACATAGAACACAGAACACAATTTCTATTGTGACAGTAGATTCATGGTATTGGGTTGCTTTTCAGCTGGCATCAACTTTTCCTGATTTTCTGAAAGACAAAAAGAACATGTTTCTACCCCTTTTGGGGTGGCAGATTATTGCTTAAAATATTTCTTTTACAAATACCCTTGCTGATTGCAGGCAAAACAGAGAAATTGCCCCCATATTTTCCTGCTTTTGTTCTATAGGCAGGCCAGGGTTCAATGGCTTTTATCTTTTAAGGGTTATGGGGAAATTATCCCACTGTTTAGTCATTAAATCCCTGAGTTTTCCTTCTTATACAGCAGACCAAGTTTATAATGTTTTTCCTGCTGTGTTAAGCTTTAAGTTTTATTTACAGGTAATAACTGAGAAGCATCATTACCATACGACCTTAAAGGATTTTTCCAAAAATCATACACACTATACGTTGTTACAGGGATACTTATTATCATTAAATTTATTAAAATTATCTTGTTATCCCATGCCTTTTATTTAGACAATTTGTTTGCTGACCAGGTATGTCCTTTATCTGCAGCTCCTTTGTGCTGCTAGTTCTTTCCTTCATCATTTAGGTAATTTGCATTTTCACAGAAACTTCCTGCTTTTGGATTTAAAGCCATCAGCAGCTCAGAGAGTCTATCTTAAAAGGGACACAATCAACTTTAACCAGAGTTTTGATTACTTTTAACTTCTGCTTCCAAAACACACAGCAATCTGAAAAAGAAAACCCAACCTATTGTGGCTCCCTTTGGAGCCCTAATAGCATTTTAATTAAGTAGCATGGTATGTTTGCATTTCTTTTGCCCCTTCTACAATATACCCTGCACATGTTCTGGGGCAAATGCACATTCCTTCCATAGTTTAACTTCTATAACATTATCCAGATCCATTTTTACATAAGGTGTCACTATTTCTTTTTTTTTTGCTTACAGAGTTTTCATGCACCTTTATCAAAGTGACAGTCTGATTACTCAGAGCCATTTTAAGACTCAGTGTTTCTAACATTGCTTCTTTTTGTTTTGTGCACCTCACCCCTGCTGTTGCTTCAGAGAGACACTGTCTTTTTTTTAATTTTTTTTTTTACTACAACTCTCATCTGCTATTACAAAAACAAACAAACAAAAAACAAACAAACAAAAAGAATCCAAAAATATTTTTTTTATATTCTCCTGATTTTGACTGCCCTGCTGCAGCCACAACTTAAAAACATTTTAAATTTTGTAAAGCATTGAGTTACCTTTTAAGGGTTAAATGCCAAATCCCAAAGCCAAACAACACTAATTACCTGTGTCTAGCAAAAAGGTCTGTCAGTTTTGCAACTTTGAATTAAAGAGTCAAATGGATTTTTAGTGGCATTATTTAAAACAAAAACAAAACTAACTGGTCCTTAGAACTTTACATATTTACACACACAGAGACAGATACATACACGTTTAACTGCTTAATTCCCTCCAGCCTCTGCAGAGTTAACTTTTTTTTTTTTTTTACTCTCTTTTCTCTTTGTAATTATGCCTGGGGGTGCCGTACATAGGGCCTTCTCCCCCTTTACCTGCGTCCCTCCAGCCTCTGCAGAGTTAACTTTTTCACTCTTTTTGTATTCCTGGAGTGCCTCTTTCACTATTTTCAGCTGGCTTTGGGTATTTGTAACCAGCACCTTCCAATTGTCTGCTCCCTTTTCTGTTTGTGCCTTTTCCTCTTTACATGAGGACAAGCGGAGGGAAGAATCCTTACATGCCTCCCACAACAACCAAATTGCTGCTGCATCTCTTTTGGCAGCACTAGAAGGTTTGTATATGAGGATATACTGAGCCAATCTATCCTCTAGGTCCGAAATAGTGCAGACATCAGCTAGGGCTTGTTTAGTCCAAGGATTGTGCCCACATTTTTGAAGGATTTGTTTAAAAGGTGTAATTTCTTTAACAAAAGGTGAGGTTGGAGTTCCTTCTGACTCCATTCCTCCCTCTGGTACTGGCTTACCCTGTTTTCTTTTAAACATCTTTAACATGGATATTTCAATCTCTTTGTCACTGCTGGTATTACTTAGCAAGTGACACAGCCTAGATTCTGAAATCATAGCTTAATCTATGCGTTTTTCCCTGCTACCTTCCCGGAGGCCAGCAGGTCCCCTGCTACCTTCCCAGAGGCCAGCAGGTCCAGTTAACCTATTTCTCCCTGCTACCTTCTCGGAGGCCAGCAGGTCCGGTTAACCTGTTCTTCCCTGCTACCTTCTCGGAGGCCAGCAGGTCCCCTGCTACCTTCTCGGAGGCCAGCAGGTCTAGTTTAATCTGTTTTCCCTGCTACCTTCTCGGAGGCCAGCAGGTCCCCTGCTACCTTCTCGGAGGCCAGCAGGTCTGGTTTAATCTGTTTTTTCCTGCTACCTTCTCGGAGGCCAGCAGGTCCCCTGCTACCTTCTCGGAGGCCAGCAGGTCCGGTTAACCTGTTCTTCCCTGCTACCTTCTCGGAGGCCCCTCTACCTTCTCGGAGGCCAGCAGGTCTTTATTTTTTTTTCCCTGCTACCTTCTCGGAGGCCAGCAGGTCCCCTCTACTTTAGGCCAGCAGGTCTGGTTTAATCTGTTTTCCCTGCTACCTTCTCGGAGGCCAGCAGGTCCCCTGCTGGCCGCAGGTCCCCTGCTACCTTCTCGGAGGCCAGCAGGTCTGGTTTAATCTGTTTTTTTCCTGCTACCTTCTCGGAGGCCAGCAGGTCCCCTGCTACCTTCTCGGAGGTCAGCAGGTCTAGTTTAATCTGTTTTTCCTGCTACCTTCTCGGAGGCCAGCAGGTCCCCTGCTACCTTCTCGGAGGCCAGCAGGTCTGGTTTAATCTGTTTTTTCCTGCTACCTTCTCGGAGGCCAGCAGGTCCCCTGCTACCTTCTCGGAGGCCAGCAGGTCTGGTTTAATCTGTTTTTCCTGCTACCTTCTCGGAGGCCAGCAGGTCCCCTGCTACCTTCTCGGAGGCCAGCAGGTCTGGTTTAACCTAATAGAAATGCCTAGCTCACTAGAGCTGGCGGTGTGCACACCAATATTTACAATAACTGAGGTTTTTTTACCAATATTCCCCCTTTCGCAATTCTCCACCAAAATGTTGTAGTATTAAAATAAAAACCAGCAGGATCTTATTAAAGGGAAAAAGGCAAAATACCACATTTATTGTGAATATAGAAAGAATCATAGTAAGCAGTTAGTTATAGCTATAACATTCCATTCAATCTCATATTTATTCACACATTCATTCATACAAACACACACACATACACACAGGTTCTGCAAGGTTGTTATCATAGTTACCAGCCTTAGAGTTGCTCATGCCAAGCCACTGGCCAGGTGGCCTGGACATGAGGAGGGAGCAGGGCCTTGTCAGATGCTCATCTGATGCTCCTGGAAGTTGGTTTGCAGAATCAGACCCCCCAAAGTTCTCACTTTTTAGAGTCTATTTTTTATAGGAATTTCTTCCTATGCCAGTCTATGGGAATTGCTTCATCATGCTGTTGCTGAATCAATCAGCAGATAGCACATTCCTGACGGCTCCAAGATGTTATCTTGTTCTTTGGTTCTCCCATTCTTGAGGCTGTTGGGTGGATTCCAGTCTGCCCTCCGGGGGGTCCTCTGGTTATTTCCACTTGACGCCTTCTTCAGCCGATGGACACTGGATTCTTAGGCTGGCACCTCCCTGATCATTCAGTTATTATCCACACCAAGCATCCATCCACATACATCCTCTATCTCTATTTTAATCACAATTGTTAATACAACAAAAGGGTGGGGAGTCTCTGGGTGTTGTTTCTGTTGTTAGAGTATTGCTTTGAGTCTCTCTCTCTGTGAATTGCTTTGAGAACAGACTCTGTCTTAGAATGTACTAACACAATTAGCAGCTTGCAAGTTTCACACATAGAGGGAGAGAAACAGTACCAAAAACCAAGAGACTTCTTAATTAGTAATACCCTGGAATTTAAACTCTGGGGAATCAAACTCATTTGTGATTTTAATACAGAACTTCTTTAATATGATCCAACAACCGGACAGGGTGAAAGCTAATTCCCAGACCTAGCCACAAGGAGATACATCTGCGGTGAGCAGAGCCCTTTACAAGGAGCATAGCAATTGCTGGACGGGATCAGACCGCCTAGTCCAGTATCCTGTTTCCAAACAGCAACCAACACCTGACGCAATACAAGGCGAGACACCCCCTGCAGTAGGCACTTCTGGAATAACCGGCCCACCGGGGAAAAAATTTTCCTAACATCCCTTCCTCAATTAAAGGCTGTCTACTGCCTTGAAGCATGAAGGGTTCTGTTCCTTCCAAACTACTTTTTAAACCTTTATCGCTGCAACGCCGGACAGTCTCATTATCCATATGAACACCCAGTCCTTTTTTAGAAACCGGTCAAGTGTTTGGCCTTAATGATATCTTGTGGCAATGAGTTCCACTGGCTGTTTTACCATGGTCAGCCCTGAAGATCTAATAGATTGTACATACAGGCAAGCAAAGCTGCACCTCATTCTGCCTCATGGATTCCCAACAAAATTACCAGTTAAATCCCTATTCCAGGATCTTTATTGCTTGCAGAAAAAACACATCCTGATTTTTCAGAAGCTAGATTGAGCCTGCATGGCTGGCAATGAGGCAGGTGGGGTTAGCTGAGCCCATTCAACAAGAAGCTATTTCTGGGAATAAGCGGCCAATGCCGAAGTATCAATTTTAGACACTTCTATGAAAACTGACAACAAAATTGTTCTTGTTAACAAGAGAGAACTCAATTCTGTAAGAGGGTAACGATTAAAGGCAAAATAGATGAACACTGAGGGTTATTTACAGAGGTGGCCCCTCATTAATGCAAAACCAAAGATCTTCAGGACACCAGTGTGAAACAAGTTGAGAATCCCAGTTCCCAGCACAGCAATCACAAGAAGCTGTTGGCCCAACTGGCACCAAGTGGCTCTGACTGGTGGTCTCAGCAGACCGACTAGACCATAGAGAGCGACTCCCCCCTCGTCCAGAGTGTTTTCACGCTGGAAGGGTGGACAGCGCTGGAACAGAATGTGAGAAGCAGACACTGCTGCTACGCCCCTGCTTTGCGGATAGGCAAGACCTAGCTCGTAGGTTGCTTTTCACCAGTAGATCTCAAAGCGCTTCAACAAAAAAGATCGGTATCATTGGGATAATGATATTGACCTCCTTTGGGAAGCGCTTTGTGTTTTACAAACAGGGAAACTGAGGCACAGAGGGATGACGTGAGTAGCCCAAGTCAAACAGCAGGCCAGTGGCAGAGCCAGGACTAGGACACAGATCTCCTGAGCCCTAACCCACGGCCCTATCCGCTAGGACACACTGCCTTCAGTTTCCAGGGCTGCCAAGCCCGTACCCTTCTCTAGCAGATTAAAAGGAGGGGAACAAACTCTCAAAGCCATTCAGACATGACAGCTCCTCATTAACGTACAGTCACTTACCCAGCGATATCAGTATCTCATAGTTCTCTCTCATCACGTCCCAGTACAGCTCCTTCTGCCATTCTGCCAAGATCTCCCACTCCTCCCGGGTGAAACTGACTGAGACATCGGCAAATGACACTGGGACCTGAAATCACAGGAAATTATTATTCATATGTACTGCAGTAGCAGGTCAACATGAATTTCAACAGCAGAACCAAGAAGAAAATATGGACCTTCATGTTCCGCCTTTTTGCATGATTGGGAGGAGGAGGAAGAAATATGGTTTTGGGTTTTCTAACTGCAGGAAAAGTATCCTTTTCCCCTCCGTGGTCTCTCACTCAAACGTCAGCAGAAATCATTTGTTCTCTTTTTTTCATTTGCCTTTTGGTTGAGATTCGAGCTCTCTCCAACATTTGATTTTATTTGGTGAATTTTTTAAACATTATTTGACAGTTCTCACCAGCATTCTTCCTATTTGTGAAGCTGGGCAAATAATTAACATGTACAAAAATGAGCCTGCCATGAATATGTTAACTGAATAAAATTAACACATGATTGTCATTACTCACCCAGCTTTGAATGAGATCAGGCCTGAAGTTTTAGGGGGAAAAACACCCTAAGAAATTGTTATAAGCGTTTTAAAGAATTTACCTATCAAAAAACACCACATTCAACAGTCATTTCCGATAACACTGCAGTATTGCGACTGTCAAATGGAGTGGTTTGGACTAGTGCTGTAGAATGATGCATGTTTTAGAGAGAGAACAAAGAAATGCCTTCTCAAACTTAACTAATGCATTCTATTTATCTAGGTATGTGCAGGGGTCATCATCAGGGTACCCACGATAGCTGTCACAAGTGTTATATTATTATTTAAGTCACATGCAAAAAACAAACACCCAGGACCCTCCATATAAATGTGCACAGTAATTGCATGAATTTTTTTAAATGACAGTCAATGGTTTGCTATAGAATGACATTGTAAATCATGGATGATCACAGACATTTTACACACGGCATAAACATTACACGTTGTTATATAAAGTATGGCAATCTCGCAGCAAATGTGCGCACCATTTTCAATTTACCATGCATGCACCAGGGACAAGACAGGTGGAAAATTTATCAAATCACCTAATGATTCCTGAAGCCAGTTCCTCACCAAGGCAATGTTTAGCATTTGACCAATCAGACATTGCATCAAAATCACTCAGCCTATCTCATTCAAGCTTGTTGCAAGTCCCGACCAATCAGCACCTGTCAACATCCCAGGTAGCACTTTTGTCCAAGTTTTTGCAATTTAATAAAACCTCTGAGCACCATTTGTGTATTCGAGCAGAACAACTAAAAATTTCAGCTTCCTGCTTCTGCCTCTTGTAAAATGGCTGCCCCCAGGAGGACCGTGAGAATTTGGTGGGGATGTGCAGGGAGGGAAGGGCTGCAGAACCAAACAAAGCATCCCCTGATGGGGACAGAGTATCCCCATTTAGCATCCAGGGTTTCACCTGGTCAGTTCGGGGGCTGATCTTGCACTCTTTGCCCAGGTGAAACCCACTGAGGTCACTGGGAGTTTTGCCTGAGTGAGGACTGCAGAATTGGGCCACAGGACATAAAGTGTAAATTATTTTTACCCACACAGAAGCATTGCTAAATATGTCAAATGAGAGCTTTGCTTATCTCCACCCCCACCCCCCGGTTCTGATCATGACATTTCTCATGGCTGGTTTTAACATGACAGGATCTCATTCTGCGATTGCAGAGTTTAAAAATGGGCTTATGTTAGAGCCAGGGCTGGTCTCTCTTTACTTCTGAAACCAGTCGCACAGGGTCCCTTGCCCCCGGCTGCTTTTTAACCCAGGAACATGGGTGCAGCTAAGAAAGCTGCACCTGGAGGGCAGCCCATGGGTTCGGTTTGGTTTGGGTCAGGCCCAGGGCAGAGGCTGAAGGAGGGAAGTCCCAGCTCCCTGCGGGCTGTTTCCATCCTGCAGCATCACCTGCCAAGCCCAAGGGAAAGGGGCCAAGCCGAGAGGCGGCAGATCCATTCCCTACCTGCGAGCCAGACTCCCTTTCAGACATTTTCCTTCCGCCTCCTCGGCAGCCCCAGGCTCTGCCACAGCAGACACCGCCTGCTCAGATCCCTGGGCGCCTCCAGCTGCATTCAGGGGGTCCCCGGTTTCCCGTCACCCACGGGCCGCGGCAGCCGCTCGGGCTGCGGGGCATGCAGGCAGGAGGGAGCCCGCTCCCGCTGGTTAGCCGGGGAGATGCGGGAGGAAGGGACCCGGGCCCGCCGCTTGCGCCCTGCACGCCTTGCAAAGGGCCAGAACGTCCCGCTCCCCGGGCGAGGATAGGCCGCCCCCTGGTGGCCATTGGGAGTGCGAACCTGGAACAATCCTGGCAGACAAAAAAACCCAGCGACTGTTTTGCTCTTCTGCAGCGTCTGAGGCACTGGAAGGGCGTTAGGTAAAGCTCACAGCAGCCCTTTGAGCGGAGTCTTCTTACCCCGCCTCCCACCCCTTACCGGGGGGGAAACTGAGGCACGGGGAAGTTCAGTAGCTTGTCTCTGTCTCTCTGGGCTCTTGTGCTGCACCCGTCGTGGGTATTTAAGCCCACAGGGAGGCAGGGCATGTAAAATCAGGGCCTGCCATGGCCTCACAGCAGAGGCCTGAAAATCACAAGCCCTGTTTTTTCACCATGCAGATGTGCACAAGCTGGTGCCTTGCAGCACACGCAGAACGCCTGCAGTTCTGGGTGTATTTGTTTCTTACCGATAAAAACAACACCGTTGCTGCAGATTTGGATTTCATGATTTTCATATCAACCAGTTTTGTTTTCACCTCAAAGGCCCCACAAATTCTGCATGAACAAGTTTCTTTAGGAGCATAGAAGCAACCATACCAAAAAAATATAGAGAACCTAGAAGGTTGCGTTGGTTGATCTGTTAGTGCAGGGGGGGTCAGACTGATTCCGTGGAGATGGATGAATTCCCTATTTAATTATGGCTCACTTGCCAGAGTATGAGTTTAGCACTGCACGCCCATCACTGTCCCTGGCTCCCCCGCTGAGCTCGATGGGAGGTTTTCACAAAGATCAGAAGTTGAACAGGGACGTTATGTAGTGGCCAAACTTTTAGTTAACATAATTATTTATCTGCTTAATACCTTACTGGTCTTTCCAGCATCGCCCTGTGGAAAAATACAATCTTCTTTAGGCCACCACTATTCTGCCTTTATTTCTCTTCCTTCCCCATTCTTCCCATTCCTTCCCCTTTCTCTGTTTCTCTTCTTCTTCTGTGTCTTTGTGGGTCTCCTCTGTTCTTCCTGCTGCATTTCCTTCCTCACAGTGACTTCTAATTCCATCCTCATGGGCTTCATTCCCATCCCCTGCCCCATTTCATCTGCTAAAATGATCAACAATGAAATAGTTAATATTGACATTGAAGTGTCAGCATTAGGCTTTAGAGCTGACACACCACTGAGATTGATGGAGGACTGGCAGAGATCACACCACTGTGCCCTTGTTTCAAGCTGCCTGCAGACTCAGAAAGACCGGGTTGCATTGGTTACACTCCCTTCACATCTGGAAGCTTTCCAGTTTGCACCCACGAGGGCTAGATATTTTCTTCTTTTAAATGACTACAGAGGCTTTGCAGAATCTGAATATGCATTATCAATTACACATCAAGGGATGGGTGTCTGACATGCCAAGATAAGGTAAGAAAAGCCTAGCTGGATGGTAGGAAACAGCATAGAGGTGACCGATAGCAGTATTAACCACCCCCATCCTACCTACTTAGAGCCTGGGTAGCTGGGCTTTACATGTGTGGAGTGAATTTCACCCACAGAGAACGGACAATCCCTGAACATCTGTGCAAACAGAAGCCCTTTGATGCAAATGCCTGTGAAGAGCCAGTAATGCTGCGCACTAACGTGGCTCAGTGGCTGGACTGCGCGGGGTGTGAATGTGCATTTGGCGGTGCGGTTTTTGCACGATTCATCTCAATGAGGGAGAGCTCACTTATAGCGTTTATGCTCATTAATGGGGTCCTACGCTTGGGTGACGAGCGGTACAAGTTTAAAAGCTGGGAGCAGGGAGGGGAGCATACATCTCTCACTCTGCGTATTTGCAGAGCATTGAGCATCAGCCCTTGTCTCAGGGGCGTTAGCCCTGGTGAATGTTCCAGCCCAGCTCTGATTGAGAAGCAGACTGTTACGTATCTCATGGCTTTCCAGTGGAGATTTTCCTCCCTCACCCAAGGTCTTTGTCATTTTGGATTAGTCAAGGGAGATTCTTCCTTTCTGGGCGTCCTGCAGGCTCAGTCTCCTCTCTCACAGGGCTGCGGTGTTGTCTCTCTCAAGTTTCCACTGTGCTGGGATTCTGAGTCTGTCCCGCGTTTAGCTTTTATGCAGGGAGATTTACTTCATTCCCCATTCCCCTCCTTCTGGGGGGGGGGGGGGGAATCTCACCTGTGCCATGTGTGAGCCAGGCCCTCATTGTCTGTGATTCCTTCTGTACATCTCCCGCCCCATCCGTCTGGCGTGGGGACCAGTGCTGGCCCCTCCCCTTCCCATGTGCTACTAACCCCTCTGCCATGGCTGGGTTGTCAGCTCTGCACTCTCTGTGGTTTGGGGCCTCTGCTCCCTGGTAGCCAATGGGGACTCCTGGGAGCGTGTGATCATTTCCTGTTTGCAGTGTTGCTGTAGCAGTGTTGGATACTAGCCTGGCTGGCAGAGTGCTCCTCTCTCGGCCGCCCATCACAGGCAGAGGCAGGGGGTAGAGCAGCCATGGTAGCAGAGCTGAGGACTCCAGGAGGGGACTTAGCAGCTGGCTGCAAGGATCAGCATGTGCGGAGGAGAAGGCCTCGGGGAAATGGCCGTGGGGGCCCCTTGGCAGGTAGGAGACAGACAGGAAAAATCCCGGGGGCTCGTGCCATAACTTAGTGAGGTGTCACGGGAGGCCCCTCTCCAGCCGCTCTCCAGAGAGGGAATCTGCCCCGGTGTCTCTCTCTCTCTGGGGAGATAGTGTGAATAGCTGTCCCAAAGTAACCCTGTTTGTGCGAGGGGCAGTCAGTCGCCACCATATCAGCTCTGGTTGGCCACTGTCCATTCTGCTGCCAGGCTAGGCTGGACCTGCTGAATGGAGACCCAGGGAGCGAGTGGCACAGGGTACATCCGCACTGAAGTGTGAACCAGAGCTCAGACTCAGGTTTGAGCCCCACCCCTCGCCAGCCACACACAGATCAGTCTGACTTGGGTCCTAGGAGCCTGCTGGGGGATGGGTCAGAGCCTGAGTCCTGCTTTAACTGAGGTCCAAACCCTGTTATTGTGCAGTGTGGACCCAGCTCAAGCCGCACACCCAAGTCAGAAGGTTGGCGTAGCGCAGTATGGACACAGTCCTGCTATTGTAACCCCAGGTTTACAATGCAGCATGGATGCTCAAGTGTGGGCTTGGATACCCCAAGTCCACAAGCCCAGGCCCCACACCCTGAGTGTACAATGCAGTGGAGACAGAGTCCTGCTGGGATTTGCCACTCACAAGCCCGCTGGGGATCCTGCAGCACAGTGGGGTGCTGGGTACAAATAACCAGCATGCACTCTGCTCTGGGCTGTTCCCTGACAGGCTGGGGTCTTTGTCCTGGGAACAAACCAAATGAACTGGGCTTCTGGCAATCACACAGAGTTGGGCCAGGGAGAACGGGGGGAACTTTCCCCAGTTTCCCCTCCAGGTCCTTACTGATGATGTCCTAAATTCTGCAGCACCTCAGAGCTGCCTCTCCCAGAGCCACATGGAAAAATCATGGAGCAGGTCCTCAAGGAATCAATTCTGAAGCACTTGGAGGAGAGGAAAGTGATCAGGAACAGTCAGCATGGATTCACCAAGGGCAAGTCATGCCTGACTAATCTAATTGCCTTCTATGATGAGATAACTTGTTCTGTGGATGAAGGGAAAGCAGTGGACGTGTTGTTCCTTGACTTTAGCAGAGCTTTTTACACTGTCTCCAACAGTATTCTTGCCAGCAAGTTAAGGAAGTATGGGCTGGATGAATGGACTATAAGGTGGATAGAAAGCTGGCTAGATTGTTGGGCTCAACGGGTAGTGATCAATGGCTCCATGTCTAGTTGGCAGCCGGTATCAAGTGGAGTGCCCCAAGGGTCGGTCCTGGGGCCGGTTTTGTTCAATATCTTCATTAATGATCTGGAGAACGGCATGGATTGCACCCTCAGCAAGTTTGCAGAGGACACTAAACTGGGAGGAGAGGTAAATACACTGGAGGGTAGGGATAGGATACAGAGGGACCTAGACAAATTAGAGGATTGGGCCAAAAGAAATCTGATGAGGTTCAACAAGGACAAGTGCAGAGTCCTGCACTTAGGACGGACGAATCCCATGCACCGCTACAGGCTAGGGACCGAATAGCTCGGCAGCAGTTCTGCAGAAAAGGACCTAGGGGTTACAGTGGACGAGAAGCTGGGGCATTGCCAGCAGATCGAGGGACATGATCGTTCCCCTCTATTCAACACTGGTGAGGCCTCATCTGGAGTACTGTGTCCAGTTTTGGGCCCCACACTACAAGAAGGATGTGGATAAATTGGAGAGAGTCCAGCGAAGGGCAACAAAAATGATTAGGGGACTGGAACACATGACTTATGAGGAGAGGCTGAGGGAACTGGGATTGTTTAGACTGCAGAAGAAAAGAATGAGGGGGGGATTTGATAGCTGCTTTCAACTACCTGAGAGGTAGTTCCAGAGAGGATGGTTCTAGACTATTGTCAGTGGTGGAAGAGGACAGGACAAGGAGTAATGGTCTCAAGTTGCAGTGGGGGAGATTTAGGTTGGATATTAGGAAAAACTTTTTCACTAGGAGGGTGGTGAAACACTGGAATGCGTTACCTAGGGAGGTGGTGGAATCTCCTTCCTTAGAAGTTTTTAAGGTCAGGCTTGACAAAGCCCTGGCTGGGATGATTTAATTGGGGATCGGTCCTGCTTTGAGCAGGGGGTTGGACTAGATGACCTCCTGAAGGCCTTCCAACCCTGATATTCTATGATTCTATGGGAAGAGAATGGTAACTCATTACCTTCCAGTCTGACCAGCAGATCAGCACAGGGGAGAGGTCCCCGGTGGGATGCAGGTAAACCTCCTTGGAGAAAGCTGATGGGCTGTTTGTCAGAGTGGACAGTGTTCCAGAAGTGCAAAGGCCCATCAAGTCGGGAGTGTAAAAATGAAGTGGATCAAGTCCTGGAGAACATATTGGAAGGGAAAGTCCTCCCCTGGCATGGGATGCATTAGATAACCGAAGAGAGCTTTTCCACCTCTGATTTCTGTTCTACTCACAGAAATCAGCACATTTATCCTGCTGAGGTTACCCAGGTGATCTGGCCAGGGACCAGGGCTG